TGAAGTCAGGTTTCCTGACCTGGATTTGGATTTTCCTGGTGAGGGCTGGTGGGTGTGCCATTCCTGCAACATCTCTGGAGAAGTGTCTGCCCATTTTTAAGCTGGTTTACTTGTTTTTGTTGTGGAGTTCTGGGAGGCTTCTGTCCTGAGTGCAAGCCTCTACCATAGTGTGGGCTGAAGTACAGTGGTTTATTTACTCATTTATTTTTAAAGATTTATTTATTAATTTGAAAGATAGAGTGATAAACAGAGGGAGAGTTAGAGATCTTCCCTCCATTGTTTCACTTCCCAAATGGCTGGACCAGGCTGAGGTCAGGAGCCAGGAGCTTCCTCCAGATCTCTATTGAGGGTGCAGGAGCCCAATTACTTGGTTCAACTTCTGCTGCTTTCCCAGGTGCGTCAGCAAAGAACTGAAGTGGAGCAGCTGGGACGGGAACCTGTGCCCATATGGGTTGCCGTTGGCGCAGGCAGCAGCTTAACCCGCCACACCACAGCACTGGCCCCTGAAGAACAGCCCTTTAAAAATTTTTTTTTTTTTTTTTGACAGGCAGAGTTAGAGTTAGAGTGAGAGAGAGAGAGAGAGACAGAGACAGAGACAGAGAAAAAGGTCTTCCTTTTTCCGTTGGTTCACCCCCCAAATGGCCACTACAGCCGGCGCGCTGAGGCCGGTGCGCCGTGCCAATCCAAAGCCAGGAGCCAGGTACTTCCTCCTGGTCTCCCATGCGGGTGCAGGGCCCAAGCACCTGTGTGGGAGACGCGGATGGAGTTCTGGGACCCAGAATTCGGACTGGCTCAGCACCAGCTGGTGAAGCCATTTGGGCAATGAACCGGTGGCTAGGAAATCTCTGTCTCTGTCTGTCTCTTTCTCTATGCCACTCTGCCTTTCAAATAAATAAAAGAACTCTTTAAAAAAGTAAACAAAACTGGGTCCCGTACGGCAGTCGCTGGGTCTGAGCCCTGGCACTGCTCCTGACCCAGTCTCCTGTCGCTGCAGACCCAGAGAGGCAGCAGTGACGGCTCAAGTGTTTGGATCCCTGCGCCCGTGTGGGAGACCCGATGGAATTCCTGCCTCCCAGCGCGGGCTCCAGCCTAGCACTGGTCCATTGCAGGCATTTGGGGAATATGTGAGTCCTCTCTGTCCCTCTGTCTCTGAAATAAATAAAAATGAAAGGAAAAAAGAACAAAGGGAAATAAAAGTTTTACACTTTGATGAAGGCCAAAGTATCAGTGCTTTCTTTATTTTTTAAGATTTACTTATTTATTTTGAAAGTCAGAGTAATATATAGAGACAAACAGAGAGAGGGAGATCTTCCAACTGCTGGTCCCCTCCCCAGTTGGCTGCAGTGGCCGGGGCTGGGCCAGGGTCTCCCAGGGGGGTGCAGGGCCCCAGCACTTGGGCCATCTTCCACTGCTCTCCCAGGCCACAGCAGGGAGCTGGGTGGGAAGCGGAGCAGCCAGGGTGAGGAAGAGCTGCAGGCAGTGGCTTCACCGGCCACACCACAACGCCCCTGTGTTTCCTGTTAGGGCTTTGTGCTCCTGCTGTCACATCCAGGAAAGCGCCGCCTCACCCGAGGCCAGGAGCTTCGCTCTGTGCTGAGCTGTGTGCACCCAGCGTCGTCCTACAGGCCCGGTCACCAGCGCTGCGGAGACCACTTTTCCCTTCACGTAGTGCGTTGGGACTCCAGTGGCCGTGAACGCAGTTCTGTCCCGCTCACCTCCTTGTTGGTCTTTACTCCAGGCCCATGCTGCCCTGCTGCTGTGGGTGAAGTGTGGCTCCTCCAACTTTGATCTGCTATAACACTGTTTTGAGTGCTGTATGTTCCTGGAATTGTCACACAGTTTGTTTTGCAGATAAAGCAACACAGAGGGAGTGGCCACAATGGTGACTCAGAGGGCACCTTGGCAGGTCTGGGCCTAGGATGGCCCCAGCTGCTGGCCGAGGAGGAGAGGAAAGCAGGGAGTGTGAGGACAGCAGGGTCCTGGTGCTGATGGCCACTGGCGGGGGAGGTGTGGGGACAGAGCCGGGGCTGGGGCAGGCCCAGTACTTGTGGCAGAGGAGGGGTGCACTGGCGGCCGTGTGTGGCGAGGCTGCAGCACACGGATTGCCGTTGCAGGAGGAGGCCCGGGTGCACGCTGCGCTCAGCAAAGCCTCGGCCTCAGGCAAGGTGGCTGGGTGGGGACTGAGAGGCGGCCGGCGGGACCTGGGGCCCAGGCTGAATGTTTTGGGGGAATGAGGCCACGTGGATGCTCCTCGGACCCTCTGCGTGACAGTGGGAGGAGAGCGTGTTGGATCCAGAGGGGGAGGCTGGCTTGCTGGGGAGGCGAGACCCTTCCCCCCACCATACACAGGGTGGAGGAGGGGAGGGCTGGGGCCCCTATGTCCCATGAGCGCAGTGGCTTCCATGCTGAGTGCGTGTTACGTGAGGGGTGCACAGGGAACTGAGATGTGGACTCCGCCCCAGTGGCCGTCTCTGCCCCGCCTCATGCTGTAGGGTGGGCAGCCCATGGTCACCAGAGATGCAAACCCAGAGAAGGCCCTGAAGCCAGGGACTTTCCGCTCCAGACCAGGCCTCCGCCTCAGCTTTCCTGTTGGCCCTGCTGTGGGGTTGAAGCGTGGTGTTGAACCAGAACTGTCCCCAAACTGGGCGGGCTGCCAGCCGAGCAGAGGGGGACACGCTGTCCCAGCGATCAGCTGAAGGCACAGTCAAGGAGCTGCAGAGGGGGCCCGAGTGGGGTCCTCCACGAGGTGGTGGGGTCGGCACGCCCGAGGGGAGGCTCAGCCTGTCTGTGGGCTGTGGGGGCTGTCCCCCATTACGAGCAGCGCAGCCAGCACGCTGGTTCCAGGCCTGTGTTGCTGTCCCTGGGACTGTGTGTCCTGGGCCAGAGCCTCCATGCTGCTGAGCTGGAGAAAGCACCCCCATCAGGAGAAGGATGGGCTGCCCTGGGCTCGGTTCTGAGCGTCTCCCCGGCTCATTGGAGGACGACTCCCTTCCCCATGGCCCCAGGAGGCACTGGCTGCCACCCAGAATCCCATTCAAGTGAGCCTGGGGCTGCTGCGGGGATCAGGCGGCTTGAGGTGCAAAGACACCAGGGCCCAAAGCCCACAGCCTGCGGGCGGCCCCTAAGTGACCTGCTACCCCACTGGCTCAGGACATGGAGCCTCTGGGGTCTGTTTCCTGTTTGCATTGGTGAGCAGAGACCACAGGACCCAAAGTAAGGCCCCCTTCTTACTTCGATTGCCGGTGATTGTGATCTCCTCCGCCTCCTGGCCCTGCCATGGGATGTGCAGAGCAAGCAGGACTCCTGGAAGTGACACCCCACAGCCTGTGCACCTTGTGTGGAGTCTCAGCGCATGCCAGGGCTGTTCCACCGTGCGTCCAGCCAGGACATCCTGTCTGGTGGAGCACCAAGTCCGTGGGGCAAGACCTGGCCACATGCGGGGGGCCGGGTATGGAGAACCGGCGCCCTTGGCTGGGCTTCTGGCAGTGCCTGTGGTGACTGTCAGCAAGTCCTCTGGAAAAAGCAGGCAGGGTCCCGTCACGGTTGAGCCGGCCCTGGGGACCAGCGCTGTGGTTGGGGGCTGCGTCCTGGCAGGCAGGGTCCCGTCACGGTTGAGCCGGCCCTGGGGACCAGCGCTGTGGTTGCGGGGGAGGCTTCTGCTCTGTTCTTGGTGGCTTTGCTGCAGCTGGGAGGGGGAGCAGCTCTTTGGGGAGCAGCTGATTCTCAGGCCCATGGAGCTGCGCAGGGGAACAGGAGAGGCCTGGAGCAGGAGCGTCAGGGGGAGGAGACAGGCCCCTGTGGCAGGCTCCACCTCGTGCTGCACACCTGGGGGGAGGCTGCTGGCCTGTCTGCCGCGTGCAGCATCTGTCCTGTCTCCCGAGTGCGGCCCTCACGTGCCCATCACAGGTTTGAGAATCAGTTTTCACCTGGTGGCACTTGGCACCGGCTCTGCTGTACAGGTGGAGCCCTCAGGGCCGAGACCCCGGCTTATGGGAAAGTGCTGGGGGCACAGGGCAGCCCCCTGCACTCAGCACTGGCCTGCAGCAGACTCACCGCTCACGGAGGGGCGGCACACAGTAGGTGCCAACTCCTCGTGTCAGCCATCCATCCCCTGAAGACATGGCTTTATGCCATCTCCTTGACAACCAGTTAAGGAAGGTGCTGGGGCCTTCGGTGCTGGAATTCCAGGGACAGCGTTCAGAGCAGAGCCCGGGGCTGGAGAACAGCAGCCTGAGCCTGCACTCCCTGGCTTCAGAAGCAGCGCAGGCTGCAGGAATATTCATTTCCTGTTTTTATTGTGGCTACTTAACGACCTTCCTTTGAAACTCCACAGTTGTAGAGAGCAGGTTGTCATGGCAACAGGGAGTGACGTGCTGGGAATAGGTACACAATGCATTTCTTTGTCCTGTCCAGCGGACGCGTTCTGCCTCTGCCCAGACGCGTGAATTTATGTGAGGGATTAAATATTAACTGGAGGCATTGCGCTGTGGAAAAGCAGAGACACAGGACAGAAAAGATGCTGCAGACAGGCACGGAGTGAGGGTGGGGCCCGGGCTCCTCACGGGAGGCTGGACAGCCTCAAAGCTGGTCCCAGTCCCTGGAGAAGCCGAGCAAGCAGTCGCTCACCAGTTGGCAAATCCAGAGTTGGGGATTTAAATGCCAGGTCTTTTCCAGTGGCTCCCACCTGACTTGCCCTGGTGCCTGTCCACCTCAGTGGACATCGCCCCTGGGTGCAGCAATTGTGTGAGGGCGAGGGTGGAGGGAGTGCACGAGCCAGAAGCTTATAAGAGGCTCCCAAGTCAGAGAGAGGTTTTTCTCTTGTCCCTGGAACACCAACGAGGCCACCACCACATCTGCCTTCCGGTTGGTTCCAAGAGGAGGGATGCGGCAGTGCTCTGTAAAGCTGTGGCCAGTGGCACCATGTAAAGCTGTGGCCAGTGCTCCCTGCCCCCCCACAAGCCAGTGCTGCTTTTCTGACACAAATCTTTTTAACCCCTCAGAAAATGAGTTCCGGGGTGAGCTGCTGAGTCAGAGGTGGACACACGGAGACCAGGCCAGCAGCTGCAGGACCGCGAGGCCCCTCCTGGGCAGACATAGCAAGGTGAGGCACGGGGAAGGCAGCCCCTGTCCCGGGCTCCACAAAGCCTAGAGGTGATTCAAGGGAAGTTAAAGAATGTACAAGCGACTCTGAACTGCCTGGAGCCCTCGTGGACCAGCAGAGCCACCTCCCAGCCACCTGCTTGCTTGGGGATCACACTGGGCTCCATGGCTCAGCCTGCTCTCTCTTCACCCTGCGTTTCCTGGGCAGGCTGAGAACCCCCTCAGGGCTGACACAGACGTTGCTGGCAGGAACCCTGGAGGCCTGTGGGCCGCGTTTCCTTCCCGTCTTCCAAGGCAAGGCTGGTGGTGCCAGCCTTTCTCATGCTGCCCGCTTTTTATTTATCATTTGTCTTCATTTTACTTGAAAGACAGAGAGACAGACAGACAGAGATCTTCCATCTGCTTGTTCACTTCCCAAATGCCTGTAACACCTGGGCCCGAGCCAGGCCCAAGTCATAAGCTGGAAACTCATTCTGGGTCTCCGGGTGGGTGGCAGGGACCCAACCTTTGAGCCGTCACCTGTTGCCTCCTGACTGCACGGTAGCAGGAGGCTGAAATCAGGAAGGGAACCAGGACTTGAACCCAAGCTCCCTGATACAGAATGCAGGTGTCCCAGGTGCGTCTTAACTACCACACCAAATGCCCCTGGCTCCTGGTGGAGGTGGCCCCTGCTTCCACCTGCCCAGCACACTACGTAGCCCCTGGATAGGACATCTGCCACAGCGTCTACTCTCCACCGCCAGTGGTCTCATTCCAGAACTTCCCACCAGCATGCGGTGAGGCCAGGTCCCCAGGTCAGGTGACCCTGAGATGGAAGCAGAGACCCTGACAGGCTTGGGGGTAGCGCTTCTCAGACTCCGGATTCTGTGCTGTCATCCAGCAGCCAGGCTGTGGCCTAGGGCATGGCACAGGGTGGTGGCCCCTGGGGCGGCCAGGGAGGCCGTCAGGGTTTGGGATGCGGGTGCTTGTAGATTACTCTCAAAGCCTGAATTCCTGTTTTGAGCCTGGTGATGAGAATGTGCATTTCGTGGGCCGGTTACAGCTGCCCAGGTTAGCGCCTCCCCTTGTTTTGGTTCCCGAAGGGTTATGGGGACTCTGCTGATCGGCACTGGAGCCTGAGACACAGGCAGTTGGGTACATTGATCTCATCTAGAGTTAACAGTTTGGTATTTTGTTGATCACTTTATTGCTTGTGCTTTAACTATTGCATTAGAATAACCTTCATCTTGGCCACTGGGCTCGTGGCTTCGTCTCAGCTTCTCCTGGCCCTCAGGTCCACAGCCTGCACTGGCACGAGATCCTGCAGCCATGATGGTTCCTTGGTATGCGGCTGGGGGTCCTGGGCTCACAGCGCTCAGGCCTCACATTGGGGCGGGAGGAGGAACCTGAGGCCTCCCTGGCGCAAGAAGCTCCGGTGATCCGGGCCCCTCTGTGGATGGCTCCGAGTGTTGAACGGCGGCTACTGTGCTGGAGCCGGGGCCTCACTCGGGTTTCCAGTGGCACAGCTGTTTCAAAGCTCTTTCATCTGGGGCAGAAGTGGTCTTCTCAGCAGAGGGGTCAAGACAAGGTGTGACCAGAGAAGGACGGAGGGTGTGCAGGGGTTGATTGCCCATGACTGGGGCTGGCCCAAGTCTCTTCTGACTGAGGGAGTCAGGAAGGTGGCCATGCCAAGTGTGAGTGGTGGCCATGGTGGGACAGCATCATGCAGAAGGGGTACCGCCTGGGGCCAGGCTTTCAGGATGAAGACAGGAAACTGCCAGAGCAGGAGGGCAGTGGCACAGACACCCCCAGGGCCTGGGCTTGTGTGCCTCTGAGTTCAGCACCACGCCTGTGGACAGCTCAGGAGCGGCAAAGTGCCGGCTTTGACAGCAGCTTCTTAAACCTCCCTTGACCCTGAAGAGTGAAACTCCTGGATGTTCAGTATTGACTGCAGAGTTGCAGAAGAAAAGAGGAAGTCAATCAGATGGTGTTTGGCCAGCACTTCCTCCTGCTCCTGGGGAAACTTGGGCAAAGACAGCTGGACGAGGGAAGCGGACACTGGGTGTGGACTTCCTCTTCCATTTCCTGTAGCATTGCTGGATTCTACCCTGGGCAGGTAGAAAGCCCATTTATGTCAGCGTCTGCTGTGAAGTTATAATTTTAAATTTGGGTTTGATGTGAAGTGGGGTCCCATGCTTAGAGGTGTCAGGAGAACCCCTCTGCATTAAAGGACACCGTGGGGCACCCTCTCTAGCCCTGTGGAGGAGGCTACACATGGCTACACTCTGAGATGTCAGGAGTGTTGCAGACATGCAGTGAGGCATCCCCCAAAGCTCCGAGGAGCCAGAGGGCGCTGTGATGGCTCCCTGAGGGGTGCAGGGGCGTGGGGGCCTTGGTTTCGCCTGCAAGCCCCAGTGGATGGGAAGCAGTGTGTGTGCTGGGGCTCCGCGGGAGCAGGCTGGTGGCGTCTGGTTTGTGGGCTGCTGCGTAGCAGGCAGGTGGTTGTGTGGAAGAGACAGAGAGGGAAAGACCCATAGCAAGTCTCTGCTAAGTGCACAGTGGTGGGGGTGTGGGGACATCACCAGTGTTGTTTGTGTCGGGGCTTCGCAGCTGTGACGGGACAGCTGCTGTGGCTCCTGATGCACACAGCGAGAGAAACCAGGGGCCGACCCCTCCCTCATCCTCCCCCGACCCCGGGAGAGGGAGCCTGTTGGTCGTACACAAGGGCTGGTAGAGCCCCCTGCCCCTCCTCATCCCGTGCCCTTCCTCCCCTTCCTCCTGGCAGGGGCTTCCTGTGGTCTCGTGGGAGCCAGCCTTGGTTCCCCCACTGCTGGAGGTTACGCAAGAGGCTCACTCCTCCCACGGGCACCGGAGTCCGCACAATCTCGTGAGTCTGAGGAGTAGTCTTGAACCCATCCTTTTGTTTTTTTAAGATTTTATTTATTTATTTGAGAGGTAGAGTTATATACAGTGAGAGGGAGAGAGCGAGCGAGCGAGGTCTTCCTTCTGTTGGTTTACTCCTCAGATGGCCGCATTGGCCGGAGCTGCACCGATCCGAAGCCAGGAGCCAGGAGCTTCTTCTGGGCCTCCCACGCGGATGCAGGGGCCCAAGGACTTGGGCCATCTTCTACTGCTTTACCAGGCCACAGCAGAGAGCTGGATTGGAAGAGGAGCAGCCGGGACTAGAACCGGCACCCATATGGGATGCTGGCGCTGCAAGCGGAGGATTAACCTACTGCGCCATGGTGCCGGCCCCCTCGAATCCATTCTAATTCTCCATTTTTTTCTGGCTGTTGAGACACGTTTTAAGTAAGACAAAGCTCTGTGTCTCCCTTGTGTCCTTGACTCTGTGGGGTCTGCAGGCCCAGAGCCGCCCCGGCCTCAGCTTGGGACCTACACAGTGCTCTCTGCTTAGCCCCTCTGGCTCGGCCTCTCTGCCTCCCTGGTGCCAGGATTTCAGAGGTGTTTCCACTGTCCCCAGGACACACTGTCACCACCCATCTGCCCGCCCAGCCACCCTTGAGGAGCGTGGTCTAAGCTGCTGTCCACTGGGGACACCCATGGGTGAGCGCCTCCAGATCAAGTCCAGGACCGAAACGGCTGCATGTGTCATAGGAGGAGGAGGCAGAGCTGGCCTGGTGAGGTGGTGCTGGCCGGGGCCAGGAACTCTCCCGGTGGGGTCAGGATTCAGCAAGGACTCTGCCCGCTGGTCAGCCCTCGGCTGTGGGTGCAGATGTGGAGAGTGGTAGGTGAGGTGCGGGATGGAGGGGGCAGCTCCTCTTTTCTGAAGACCCTGAGAAGAGGCAGGACACAGGAGGGAGAGAAGAGGCAGCCTGAGTGAGCGGGAAAGGCGTGAGGGGAAGGGGCCGCCCTCCAGGGCTCACCACAGGAGTCTCTGACCCAGGCCTGGGAGTGGGGCAGAGGTGGCCGCTGGGGAAGTGGCACCGTTGGGTCTCCAGGGAAGCCTCTGAGCCCAGTACTCCTGGCAGCGGGGCCACCGTTTCCCCTTAAAACTGGACATGAGTGGCTGGTTCCTGTGTCCTGACTCTGACAGCAGCACACTAAGTACACAAAACAATCCGCAAATTTTGCGGTTGCTGACTGTGTTTTCCATTTTGCTTAAAGTTTTATTTATTTCCTTGAAAGGCAGAGTGACACAGAGGAAGGGGGGTCTTCCATCTGCTGACCTGTTGGGTCACTCCCCAAATGGCTGCAACAGCCAGGACTGGGTGCAGAGACCCAAGGGCTTGAGCCTCTGCTGCCTTCCCAGGTGCATCAGCAGGGAGCTGAAGCAGAAGTGGAGCAGCTGGGGCTTGAACCAGTGTCTGTGTGGGATGCCAGCTTCACAAGTGGCTGTTGAACCCACTGCGCCACAATGCCTGTCCTGAGTTTGAGTTTGCAAACGTCCGACTGAGGGAACTTGGCCGTGGCGGGGCGCCGTGCAGGGTCGTTGTGAGAGCTGCGTGTTTTTAAGGAGAGCTCACCTGGTTACTCTGACTTCATCACAAAGAAACAGAAAGGAGCAAAGCGTCAGCAGTGTCCTGTGTGTGACCGGTCTGTACGGCTCCAAGCAGGCAGGCTGGGCGGGTGGATGAAGAGACCATGATGTGGCTGGACAGGGTGCACTCCTCCTCCTGGTTTTCATGATTTTCCTGGGGAAGGCAAACTATCCAGACACTGACTCGAGCTGTGAGACGGGCTCCCCACGGTGGAGGGAAGCTGCAGATGGAGAAGCAGAAAGAGCCCAGGGCCCTGCAGCCAGCGCAGGAATGAACTCGGCCAGTCTCCACGGAGGGGCCGTCTGCTGTCAGTGTGGGAATGAACTCGGCCTGTCTCCACAGAGGGGCTGTCCACCGTCAGCGCAGGAATGAACTCGGCCAGTCTCCACGGAGGGGCCGTCTGCTGTCAGTGTGGGAATGAACTCAGCCTGTCTCCACAGAGGGGCTGTCCACCGTCAGGGAGAGGCTGCCAGATGGTTTCAGAGCTGTACGAGGAAATGGGGCCTGCTTGGTTTGTGTTTGGATCAAGTGAAGGCTTTTTAAAAAATAAATCAGTGAGAAATTGAGACCTGTGTCCTTGTCTTTGCATGGATAAGCTGCTGTTAGAGTCACTGTGGGGTGCGAGCAGAAAGGCCCAGGGCTGCCCCCGAGCCAGCGCTGGAGTGAGCCTGGCTTCCAGCCAGGGCCCCACGTCCAGGCAAGAGGCCAGCAGAGAACCCCTTCTGCCACGCTCTGGGCCCTTCTCTGGAGGAAGATGAAGCAGACCAAGTGGTGCTGCCGCCTCTGGGAGCTCGCGAAGCCCAGACACCAGCGTCCCCCCTCCGCTGCCGGTGTGTCCCGGTCCCCAGCACTCAGAAATCCCTTGCCGCCGTGCAGAGCCCGGTGTTGCCCCCTGGGGCTCAGGTTCTTCCCTGCTTAGAACCAAAGCTGCCTGCACTGAGAACGCAGCTACACCTCAGGGCGAGAGGCACTGAGCCAGACGGAGGCCGCGGCTCTCGGCAGCGCTGGGGAGGCTCGGCAAACAGCGCCCGTAGCGTCCCTGCATCGCTCTCTGCTCTGCTCTGTGAATAATTCACCCACAGGAAACCCAAATTGCCAAGGCACGCTTGCACCCAGCAGAATGCTTGCCAGTTTCCTCGGGAAAACTGACGGGGGGAGAAAGAGCTCTAGGCAGTGTTTCGGCTGAATGCTGGCGCCCGGCAATCAGACGCATGAGGTTCATTGTGTGGCCAGCATCGGAAGGCGCCGTGCATGGGCTCAGAGTGGGCGACATTTGAAGAAGCCCCTTTGACACCTGCTCCTCTCTCTACTCTGAGTGTGAGGCATTGGTCCATGGGGAACCTCTGTTTTAAAAGTAGAAATTACAGTAATTGTCTCTGTTCTGTTGGAAGGCTGTAATAAAGGCACGGCTCGTAGCGCTGTGCTCCACAGCCCGGCCATCGACAGGTTGCATAAATTACGCAGGTTTTGATTTTTCCTCCTTAACAAATCGTATAAATCATTATATGTTATGCTTCCCCATGGGGAGGTCCACTTTGCAAATTCCCTCTCACTATGGGGGATTCCTTTTCCCTTCTTCCCAGGTGGTGCCATGGACATTTGTCTCCTGTTGGCTTTTATCGCCCAAGTCCTTGTTTAAAACCAGGGCTTCTGGGGCCGCTGCCCTCCCCTCCTCTCCTCTGCGGCTTCCCTGCTGTGCGGCTTTCCCTCTGTCACCTCACACAGGGAGCCCTGGCTGTTCTGGCGTCTGGGCCCTCCCCTTCCTGACCACGTAGGACAGGTGGCGAGGCCGGGGCTGGCATTCTCCTCTTGGGCCTCCGGGGAGGCGTGGCCCACATCTGCCCCTAGTCCTGCTGCCTGGAGGAAGCTGTTCTGCACAACCTTGGGGTCTCACCTGCCTGCCCATGTTCGTCCTGGGCGACTGGGACCCTCGTCTCCATGTGTTGGGCAGCTTCTCCCAGTGCAGTGGAGTCTGGAGGAGAGCTGCTTGCACAGGGTGGAGAGATCTACTTAATTCCGCTCTTCGAGGTTCGAGTCCCAGCTCGAGCACCCCCGCTGGTTTGGCCTCAGGCAGGTGGGGGCAGAGGCGTGTATGCCAAGGATGGGTCACATGTGTGCCAGGAAGCAGGCAGTACAGCTGGGTCGGACCCAGGCAGCCCAGGGACTGAAGGCCCTCCCACAGGCCAGCCTCCCAGACCTCGCCACTGGACTGTGTGTCCACTCTCTCAATACCATCCGTGTGTGCCCCGGGGGCTCAGAGTCCTAGCAGAGCTCAACTGGAGCACCCCCCCGTCCTCTCTGTGACTGCCCCTCTAAGGGCTCTCCTTTGCAGGACAGCATTGTCCACCTGGAGTTGGTCAGAGGAGGAGGTGGTGGGGACTTCACCTGTTCTGACAGGTGACCCTAGTGTGTTAGGCCATGAACACCTGCTGAGTGGAAGAAAGAGTCCACGGGAAGCAGGCACAGGGCCAGGGCTCTCACGCTGCGATCCGAGGCAGTCAGCTAACCCAGCCCTGTTGGGGGCGCCTTAGTTCTGCCCCACCAGGTGAGCAGCAGCCCTCGTATTATGGAACACCAAGTTCATGAGGATTTCGTGGGGCTGACCATACTCCAGCTTTGCTGGCAGGAGTGGAGTTGGGGATAGCGGGGTAGTGGCACTGTGGCACTCTTGCTGAGGTTGGGGAGAGGCAGGGGAGACCCCTGGGCACCTTGAGCCCCCCAAGCCCCTCTCCTGGCCCAGACCCCGGTCTTTGCTGTCCTTGTCATGCTGGTCGTAGGGTCACAGGCTCAGGGTCAATCACCAGACCGGGAAGCAGCAGGGCCTAGGTCCCTGGCGGCTCGGGTGGGGCTGCTGGGTGTTCTTATTAATGCCGCAGCTATTTTTTGCTTGCAGATGAGCTTAGAAAACGATGATAAGCGAGCTCGCACGCGATCCAAGGCCCTCCGAGGTGAGTCTGGCCTCTGCACACTGCCATCTCTCTGAAGCTGCAGAGGCCCCTTCCTCAGAGTATGAGCCTCCCGCCCCCAGCACAAACCTGAGGCTGGCAGGTCCCTGTGGCCTCAGGCCTCTTCATCTTCCACCTCAGGGCTGCTCATGGCCTCCAGCCCAGATGAACTCACCCAGGTGGAGCTGCTGGGGCAGTGGTATGGGACTCTGAGTTTTGTTTTTTAAGATTCATTGCATGCATGTGAATGGTGGAATGACAGAGAAAGAATCTTCCATCTGCTGATTCATTCCCCAAATGGCCCCAATGGCAGGGCCTGGGCCATGTCAAAGCGGGGGCCCACGCACCTGTGCTGTTCTCCGCTGCTTTCCCAGGCCATTAGCAGAGCTGGATGGGAATTGGAGCGCATATGGGACATTGATGTCACAGGCAGCCCTGGTCGTGGGACCCTTCTGCCTCCTGGCAATGCAAGGCCGCCGGCACCTTCCCCCCAGGAGAGCAGCCCGAGTGCTGGTGGGAGAAGAGGAGGTTGGGCCTTGCTGTTCTCAGGACTGAACCCTGACCCCATGGCCAGTCCTTCCTCCCTGGCACCTGCCCCATCAGGGCCACCTGTGCTGCCGCAGGGCCTGTCCCCGGCGAGCAGCCTGGCCCAAGGCTGACCTCCATCTGCCAGTAGTGGTGGGGCTGCTGCCCCGGTTCTGAGGGCCCAGATTTCCTGAGGAAGCAGCTTGCTGCACTGACCTGGATGAGGCTCTCGGGTCTGGAAAGAGGGGGTCCCCTAGAGAAGCCCCTTGATTCTCACTGGGGTCCTCCCACAAGTCCCTCAGCTGTTTGACTGACTTTATGCTGTTAGGGTGACGCCCCTCTAACTCTAACTCCCACCTGTTCTCCCTGTTTGTCTCCTGCTCAGGACCCCCAGAGACCACAGGCGCAGACCTCAGGTAAGGAAGCATTCCTGTGGCACTGAACACCCCCCGCGGCCCTGGGGGTCTTGCCCGTTCCAGGCAGGGAGCTCAGAGGCTGCCACTCACCTGGCCCTGAGTTCAGCTGTCTGTACCCCGACTAGGCTTTCCCACCTGTGGTCTGGCCCCAGCCACCAGATGTCCTGGCCTCATGACAGAAACATGGGCCCCGAAACCAGCAGTAAATATGTTGCCCTCTGCGAGTGCTCCCGGGTCAGATGGTCAGAGGCCCGCCATGGCCTCCCACAGCCCGAGTCTCCTGTTGCCTCCAGATGTCCCAGGGTATCTGTGTTGGGGGCCCGCAGGCCAGGGCAGGGCCGACAGCTCTGTGATGCTGCCTCCCTGCTTCCCGGGGGTGCAGATCCCCTCTGCCTGTGTCATTCTTCACCACATTGCTGTTGGGTGGAAATGGCTTCCGCTGACCAGGGCACTGAGAGACCCCAAAGTTCACCCCATCCCCCTTGTGCAGAAGTGGAGAAGGAAGCCACATCCTGGAGAGAGCGGGTCCAGGAGGTGGAAATGGCCTGGTCTTGCTGCACTGACCTGGTCCAGAGGTGTTCAGAATTCTAACGGGAGCGCTGCTTGGCGGTGGTGTTATCCCAGCAGTGCAGTGAGGAGGCAGACTCAGCCCAAAGAGCTGAGTCACTCCCTCTACTCGGAGTCCCAGGATCGGGGTGGACGCAAGCCTTGTGGCCCCGTGTGCCAGGCCACTGCAGGGCCTGGGATGCTTGAGGGCCGGGAGCGAGCGCCACCTTCCTGAGCCAAGTGGCACTCACAGAGGTGGGGGCTCACTTGTGGACAAAGGCTGAAGGCCCGAGGGCAGAGGAAGCCGGGTCTGAGCAGCCGCAGTCTGCCGTGGCCACGGCTGAGGGCGGGTGTCCCCCTGTGACTCTGAGACAGCAGGAAGAACAGTGTCTGTTTCTTAGCCTCCCAGGGGAGGCCTGAGCCGCTGCAGAGAGGGGACTGGGTATGCACCTGCCTTCTGCTGCCTCTGCCAGTCTGTCCTTGAACTTGTTCTCATGGAGAAACCAGGGGGTGCTGTGGGTGCCGGCACAGGGGCTGTGGTCCGGGACAGTGGTGTCACATTCCATGCTTGGATCCCATGTTAGAACTGCTCCACGTGCAGGCTCAGCCAGAGTCTCAGAGCCTCTTGTCTCTGGGTGGCAGCGAGGAGAGGCTCGGCCATAATGAGTAGGACCCTGTGGCCTACTGGAGTGCTCTGGCGTTTCCCTTCACACGGTGGAGGAGTGGATGGAGCCGTCAGCTAGGCCCTCTGCTCTCACAGGGCCTCGGGGACGGCCATGGTGCCGCAGCGTGTGTCGCTGGCCTGCCCAGGCAGTCACAGGAGGCCCCTAACTCCTTGCAACTGGTCCCTGCTCCCTGAGCCCCTCACCCACGAGTGAGCACGGGAGACTTCCACCTGCTGGAGTGGAGGGAAGCCAGCACCCCCACCTCCAAGGGTGGCAGTGGGAATGGGACTCCTCTCTCAGATGGGCTTCCTTGCACCCTGGTGTTCACATTTGGGTCCCCCTCAGTCTCACACAGGAACCAGGGCTGGGCATGCAGGGTATTGTCATGGAGTGGCAGGGCGAGGTTCGGCCGTGGGTCTGTCTCCCATGTCTCTCATGGTGGGGAGAGCTTCACGAGGCTGGGAACCCCGGTGTCCCTGCACTAGGCACATGGACGGCATTGGCGGAGACCACGCTGGGTCTGCCCCTAGGCGAGCTTGTTCACCAGGAGACTTGAGGCTGGTGTCTGTAGCATCGCAGCTCTTGAGGCCCATGCTGGGTCTCAGGCCAGCTATTGGGTGAGCAGGGGTCTCCATCTTCCTGTCCCAGAGTGGCCCTGCCAGTTCCACTCACACAGGCTGACAGTCCTGGCCCTCGGAGCCTTGTGGGGCCCTGGCCTCTCCTGAGCTGGGGCGGATGGTTGGAGCAGGTGACGTGATCGGGGTACTGCCAGTGCCCCACAGGCCTCCACAGCAGCTGTCACCTAATTGCCTGATTAACTCAGTGATTAATCGGCTAATTGGGGCCTCGGCTTCAAATCTCTAATAACAAGGAGCTTTCTTGTGAGAAGTCTCAAAGCTAGTTCTTGAGAGAGAGAGAGGGAAAGAGCGGGAGAGCAAATTTGGACGTAGATTTCAGAACAGACTGGCCAGAGGGCCTTCTGCTGTCTGGAGGGGAAGCTTGCCCTCCCCCCGCCCCTTCATGGCCTCCCATCCCCTCGCTCCCCTCTCCTTCAGCTGGAATCACCCAGGGCAGCTCCACCAGCCCCACCAGAGGCCGCGGGGAGCTTTCCAGGGTCCCTGCTCCCCCAGTGGCTGCTGTTGAACTTGGGGCTGGGGTGGGCCTTAGGCGCCTGCTGTCTTGTCTTTGCCCCGGTCACGGTCAGTGCGTGTGGCCTGCGTGGCCAGTTGGGCCCCTGGTCTATCAAGTTAGAAGCAGTCAGGGTATCTGTACAGAGGACAAGGTGTTTGCCTTCCTCTCTGAGCCGGAGTCATCCCTCCCAGGCCTGAGGAGATGTGGGAAATCCTGTAGGGTTGAGGCCTGTCTTGTCCAGGGAGGCCCTGTCCACCCACAGGCAACTCGGGCTCTGCCACTTCCAGCTCTGGTAACACGGCACCGGCTCCTCCCAGCCACGAGGGCCGGAGCCCGGCCTTACTGGTGCTTCTGTGGCACTCTTTCCCCACTGTGCCTGTGCCAGTGCTGCTCCCGCTGCCACGGCTGTGTGTGGCCACTGCAGAAGTTTCCAGAGCTCCCTGCTAGTCTGGATGTGTTGTGAGACAGATGATGTCTGAGGGCAGGAGGCTGCGGGGGTCTTGCCTCCATCCCCCTTGTCCTTGCCAGTCCTGGGGGGAAGTGCATGAGGCCAGCATCTCTCCCTGAGCTGCCCGAGGGTCCTCCCCTGAGGCAGGACCAGCAGCTCTCAACACCTTGGCCCTCCTGGCTTCCTGCCTCACACCCAGCTGTTGGCAGTGAGTGCAGCATTCACCACTGTGTCCCTGTCAGTTGGGGGCCTGCAGTGTGGGCCATGGAGCCCTCCCTGCCGGTCAGACTCAGTTCAGCTTGCTGGACAAAGGCCCTGTCTGGCAAGGAATGCAGCGGTCACTGCCCTCAGTGGTCCCAGGCCGCACAGATCTGCCTGCTGTGTGCTCTGGATTCTGGCCAGCCCTGAGCCAAGTGTCCTCGGTAGAAGAGGGTGCTGGGTTCTGGGGCCCTGCTCAGGGTCTTGTCTCCAAGCCCATGGAGACCTGGTTGCTGCTAGCGGGAAGACCCAGCCCCAGAAAAAGGAAGCTACCCAGGAGACGCTGGTGTTAGAAGCCTTGCTCTTCTACACGAGGATCTTTAGTCAAGCACACTCGTAAAACCGTAATGAGCCATTCATTTGTTTCATTAATTCTTAGCAAAGTGCTGGCAGCCATCCTGAGAGGGGCTGTTTGGAGACAGCTCCCAGGTCAGGGTCTGGGCTGGGGCTGAGATTCGGGTCCTGCCACTGAGGCCCCCTCCCCTGCTTGTCCCCACAGCTGTCCCACCCCAGGATGCACGGGCTCAGGGCATGTTCGGGGCAAGTACTCCAGGCACCGAAGGTAAGGGGCCCCTCGGAAGGACTTGGGGGTTCCCACTCTGGGCAGCTGAGGGTTAAAAACCTTCCATCTCTGTCTGGCTTCTGGGCCAGGCAGCCATGGACTCTTCTAGGCTGAATCACATTCTGGGGTGGCCTTGCAGTGTGCTGGGCGGCTGGGCAAGGGATAGATGAGTCCCCGTGGGAGGGCTCAGAGCAGGCCCGGGCCCCTCAGTGGCCGTGTGCCCTGCTGCCATGGCCGTCTATGTGGCTATCCCACATGACCTTGTGTGGCCCCCCCCCCCAAGTCCCTGGAGTGCTGAGGGTGGTGGGGAGCCTGGAGGTGGAGCAGCGAGTGCTGAGACCAGACTGGGGTGCATGGGGGGCGGCTCAGAAGTGAGCAGTCTGGGCTGGCCGGGCCTTCTGATTGCTCAAGGGAAGCGGAAATGTGGCTAAAACACAGCAGGAGCGTTTCTGTCTGTTCAAGTCACAAGCTAAGCTGGTTCAGTTTAGCCAAATACAAACACTGAGAGTGGCTGCCGAGGGCTGGAGGCAGGGAGGGGCCTGACCCTGTCTCATCCCCCTCCATGGCCCACCCTCCCTCCAGCTTGCAGAGCTGCCCCCTGGCCAAGAAGAGGAAGCTGGAGGGCACGGAGGCTGAGCACCTGGTGTCCAAGAGGAAGTCCCACCCCCTGAAGCTGGCTCTGGACGAGGGCTACGGCGTGGACAGCGACGCCAGTGAAGACACCGAGGTGAAGGGCGCCTCTGTTTCCGAGGAATCGGAAGGAGCCGCGGAGGCCGAGGCTGAGCGCTTGGGACAGGAGGAGATTCATCGCCTGGAGCCAGCTGCAGGTGCCTTGTCACTGTTCCTCCCACAGATAAAGGGCGCTCAGTGTGGCCCTGGGGAGTGCGGCCTGGGAGGGGGGCTCACTGTGAGTCAGAGGAGCCCCCTGAGAACAAGGCTCGCCTTGTCAGACATGAACTGGGCTTCCTGGAGGAGAGGCCGTGAAGGCGTTGGGGGTGTGTGGACACTGTGTGCGTGGGAGAGGCAGCAGGTGTGTCTGTGCATGCGAGACACAGACGGGTCACACAGCTGTTCTTGTGTGGGGGGGTCTCAGACAAACTCTGTCGTGCCTGGCCCTCTGGGAGAGTACCTGGGGCAGAGGTGGGGCACTCTCTGGATCCCAGGGAAGCTGGGGTGGGGGTCCTGCTTCCCCGTGGGACCCCAGGACTGGCTGTGTTAGGGAATTCAACCGTGGTGGACACTGCCCAGAGGGAGCTCCTGTGTCCTCTGAGTGCCCCGGGGCCGAGTGAGGCCCAAGGTCCAACCTTTGCCAACTCCCCTCCGCAAGCCCCTCCCCAGCCCACACTGAAGGGAAAGGGAGGGCTTCTGGTGATTTCGCGCCCTGGGGCTGTGGAGTGGAGGTCCCGGCTCCTCCCCTGAGGGCGCCTGGCAGGGCCGGCTTTCCTCCTGCACCTCCTGAGCACCCTGCACCCTAGTTATTGTGCTTGAAACACTTACATTTTGATGCTTTGAAAACATGAGTTTATTTGCTTCTTTGCAATTACGAAGTGATTTACTGTGGTGCAACCGGTGAAGCTACTGCTTGGAACACCCACATCCCATACTGAAGTCCCTGCAGGAGTCCCGGCTGCTCCACTTCTGACCCGGCTCCTTGCTGTGGCCTGGGAAGCAGTGGATGATGACCCAAGTGCTCGGGCCCCTTCACCCACATGGGAGACCCAATGGAGCTCCTGGCTCCTGGCTTCAGCCTGGCCCAGCCCTGGCTGTTGCAGTCATTTGGGGAGTGACCCAGTGGATGGAAGACCTCTCTCTCTGTCTCTCTCTTCTGCTCTGTCACTTTGATTTTCAAATAAAGTAAACAAATCTTTAAAAAATAAAAAAATCTGATTTGCTCTTTAAGCTCCATTTTATAAAATGCATTTTAAAAAAAGACTTACTTATTTGGAATGCTAGAGTTACAGAAAGAGAGGGAGAGGGAGAGAGAGAGAGAAAGAGAGAGAATCTTCCAAATCTTCACTCCCCAAATGACCGCAATGGCCAGCACTGGGTCAGGCGGAGGCCAGGAGCCAGGGGCTTCATCCAGGCCTCCCACATGAGTGGCAGGGGCTCAAACACTTGAGCCATCTTCTGCTGGTTTTCCTGGGCCATTATTGGAGAGCTGGGTCAGAAGTAGAGCATCTAGGACACGAACCGGTGACCAGATGGGATGCCAGCACTGCAGGCGGCTTTACTGGCTATACCACAGCACTGGCCCCTATAGAATGCATTCTTGCCCAACTCATAATGGGAAGGAATACTAATGAAAATCTCTAAGTAGCTCCCGGCTCTTGACCTGCCTCCTAGACTCAGGCCCCGGGGCATTCCCTGCGATCTGCAGATCACGGCCACCCCAGATCACTGGTGTGGAGTGTCGTGTCCCTGTCTGCAGTGTGTGTGAGGGCAGGGTGGAGGGCTGCCGAGGGTGCCAGGAGCCAAACACCTGGAGATTTGCCTGTGTGGTCTCTTCCAACCCCGTGGTATTTCTGCTTTTGTGCAGGAAGGAGCCCCATCAAGTCCCATTTTGGATCCAACCCTGTCGGCAGCCCTGCTGGCTCCTCCCAGGGCAGCTGCAGCAGCTACCAGGGGGTCATTGCAGCTTCTCTGTTAAACTTGGGCCAAATCGCCGAAGGGAGCCTGGCGGGGGAAGACTCGGGCCAGGGGTCCAAACCAGGCCTGCTTCAGGAGGGTGCTGACGAGGGGGCCGCCAGTGATGAGGGTGAGAAGGACCTTTTCATCCGGGTGGGAGATGCAGGGGGGGCTGCTGATGTCACCAGCGAGCGCCCCCAGGAGCCACGACCTCAGTCCCTGGAGAGTGTGGCCAGAGAGGTGTCCAGCAAGCAGAAAGGTCACCAGGAGGAAGAGGAGGAGGAAGAGGAGGAGGAGGAGGAAGAGGAGGAGGATGGGATGGAGGAGGAGGAGGAAGAGGAGGAGGAGGTCGAGGAGGAGGAGGAAGAAGAGGAGGAGGAAGAGGAGGAGGAGGAGGAGGAGGAGGAGGAAGAGGAGGAGGAGGAGGAGGAGGAGGAGGAAGCAGCCGCTGCTGTGATCTTCGAGGACGCCTCCCACACCTCTGCCCAGAAGGCCCCTGAGCTCCGGCGCCCAGAGCCGCCCAGTCCCAAGCCCGAGTACTCTGTCATCGTGGAAGTCCGCTCGGACGATGATAAGGACGAGGATGCACGCTCCCAGAAGTCAGCGGTCACTGATGAGTCTGAGATGTATGACATGATGACCCGTGGAAACCTGGGCCTCCTGGAGCAGGCCATTGCCCTCAAGGCTGAGCAGGTGCGCGCTGTTTGCGAGCCGGGCTGCCCACCGGCTGAGCAGGGCCAGCCGGGGCCCGGCGAGGCAGGGAAGGCAGTGAAGTCCCTGGATGCCGTGCGCAAGAGCTACTACAGCAAAGGTGAGGGCTGGCGCCACCTGGGCCAGAGCATGCGTCCTCTTGTCCAACCATGAACACACAGGCCAGGGTGGGCACAGTGGGGCAGGGGAGGGGACAGACAAGCAACACCGACTGAGGTCCAACGTGGAGGAAGTGGGCTTCCGCTGCCCCACGCAGGGTCATCTGGGGGAAGGAACGGGCTGAGATTCGAGGAGGAGCCGCGGGGAGGGCGGCGGTCAGTGGCTGGGCTATGGGGGTGTCCAGCAGGCAGAAAGGCCGTAGCCACAGTCCCCAGACAGCGCTGGTGCACAGCCCGACTGCCTTCTGCCAGGAAATGCTGTGCCCTGCACCCAGCAGAAGACACAGGGCTGTATCTATCCCTGGATCACCCGCAGGGAGCGGCCTGCTCTTCTGGCCTGCTGTAGGGGGCATCCAGGCACCCTCGCCATGGCGGAAATGGAGGTGGGAACAGTAAGCCTGGCAGCCTGGAGATCTGAGAAGGTGGTCACTGCCACCATTGCTCGTGAGCTGACCACTCACCTCAAGTACCTCCTTGGTCCACGGGCAGGGGCATGGGGCACAGGGTGTAGGGTTGGCAGGGGCTCTTCCCTGTAATGGCCAACCTAACCACACCAAGAGGCTCCCTGTGCCGGCCAGCCTAACTGTGTCAGGCAGGCTGGGCTTCAGACCGGCAGCGCCCCTTGGGCTGGTGCTGAGGACCCTGCATCTGGACGTGTGGCCTCCCTCCTAAGACTGCCGAGGTCTAAGCTGCCCTGCCCTCCATCATCTTTCTCTGCCCTGCGGCAACCTCTCCTCTCCGATGCCCTTCCATGGGCTGCTCTTGGGAGTGTTGGTTGATGCATTGGAGGTGCAGGCTAAGAGGTGACTCCAAGCTGGCACCATGAGCCCAACACAGGAGGCACAGGTGTGGACAGAGCACCGGGCCCAGGAGTGACAGAGCTGCACGGGGCGTGGCCCAGGGATCCTTAGCCAAACAGTGGACAGGAGGGGCACCGGCGTGTGGGACAAACTGAGGGCGCAGTACATGAGTGGGCATGTGGTTTCGGGGTGAGCTGGACCTGGAGGATACCTCTGTCTGAGGGGACATATTTTAGGGAGGATGACTGTTTGGAGGCCCCGGGGGGGCCATTGCATGACACCTGGAGGCAGAGATATGGTCAGGTGCCTCCCCCTGCCGCCCAGAAGGTTGACCGATGAGGCTTCTGCATTGTGGACCCCAGCCGTCTGCAGCTGCCCACACCCTGCTACCCCGGGGCAGTCGGAGCAGTCTCTGGGCTCTGCAACAGATATCCAGTCAGAGCCAGTTTCTTCTGGGTCACCTCCCTGCCTGGCCCATCCAGCCCTGGTCCCTCCCAGCTTCCTGGGCAGACTCGCAGGAGGAGGGAGGGGTCGCCAGCTGTCCCCTCCCCCCACTCAATATCCTGGCTCTAAGGGGGTTGTCTTCTGTGTTTTAGATCCTTCCAGAGCTGAGAAGCGGGAGATCAAGTGTCCGACCCCAGGCTGTGACGGCACTGGCCACGTGACGGGGCTGTACCCGCACCACCGCAGCCTGTCCGGCTGTCCCCACAAGGACAGGATCCCCCCAGAGAGTGAGTTGCTCTGAGGCAGGGTCAGCCCAGACAGGCTCAGGCCCCCTCAGTGGTGGCTGAGGCATTGTGGGCAGGAGGGACCTGACCAGGGCCCTGTCCCCTCAGCTTGCCCAGGTGTTTGCCAACCCCTTAGAGTGCCTGTGGGGCTGGGGACATGCAAGTTGCCCAGCTGTCCCCTAGAGATGCCAGCCTGGGCCAGCGCCCCAGAGATAGCCACAGACACAGCAATGGGAGGGGACAAGCTGTGTCAGCCGAGCTGGGAAAGGAGAGGTGACCCACCCCAGGCCTCTGAAAGCTCAGGAAGCAGATCCTGTCCCACTTTCAGGTTGGACGCAGTGACCGTCAATATCCCATTCGGAGCAGGGAAACATGAAACGATGGTGGTTTTAAAGCCGAGTCTGGGGGGGGGGGGGGGCGGGGGCTCGGCCAGGCCGAGAGTGGAGCTCACGTCGGCAGGCTCTGGGCCTGGAGCTGCCGAGTCTTTGCTCCAGGCTGCTGTCCCCTGTCTGCCTACAAAGCCACTGCAGCCTTTGGACAGGCCACTCAAACGGCCACTCCTGGCTTACCTCCTCCCATCCCGGTTCTCCTGCAGTCCTGGCCATGCATGAGAACGTGCTGAAGTGCCCAACCCCTGGCTGCACAGGCCAGGGCCACGTGAACAGCAACCGCAACACACACAGAAGGTACGTGGGCTGGGCCAGGCCGTGGTGGGGCCTGGGTGGGGGAGATGGGGCAGGGCAGATCCAGCTGGGCCTGCAGTGTGGGGAGGGGCTTAGCCTGCCACCGAGGCTCCTTTGTGCTCTCTGACCCAGGCCATGCCCTGGGCCACACTGTCAGCCGCCCCCAGAGCACCATGGGTGGCCGTGGCCTCAGGGCACATGCTCAGCTGAAAGGACGCCAGAGCTTTTGAGGTCACTTCATTTGAAAAGAGGCCAAATTGAGTGATGTGATGACATCACTTCTCCCGGCAGCCTGGGGCTGGCGCTTGAGTTGACTTTGGCTCTGAGCTCTGAGGTGAAGCTGCCCCCGGGCTGTGGTCTGGGGGAAGCCCCAGCAGAACAAGAGCCAGGTGGTTCCAGAGTCAGCCCCGGGAGCTGGGGGGATGGGCAGGGCAACAAGTGGGTCACCCAGGCCCCTGCGGAGGAGGCTTCTTTGCCCTGAGCTTGAGACTCATCGCGTGTGGCTTCAGATTTCCCCAAGCGGAAGGTGCCTGAGCAGCTTGCGCTTTGAGGGCGGAGCACAGAGCATGCGAGCACCCATCCCACGGGAACAGCGGCTTGTTCCTGGCCCTGGGCTGCCTGGAGAGGGGGCTCAGATGTGACTTTTGTCCTTCCTCTAGTTTGTCTGGGTGTCCCATCGCTGCTGCTGAAAAATTAGCCAAATCCCATGAGAAGCAGCAGCCACACACAGGAGACCCTTCCAAGAGCAGCTCCAATTCTGATCGGATCCTCAGGTGAGTGCGATGAGCCACTGAACTGAAGGGGCTTTTGGTTTCTCCCAGGCTGCGCATGTGAGTGGGCACAGGTGCACCTGCGACACATCCACTTTCACAGGGCAGGGGCTGCCATCGGCCGCAGTCAGGACCTCAGTCAGTGCACTGGCAGCTGACCCTGCCTGCCGAGGGGCTCCCCCAGGAGTGTCTGAGATAACTCAGAGGTTCACCGGTGGAGACACCAGGAGCCAGAGTTGCTGGCTGTCCTGCCTCTCTCCATTGCTGTCCTGGGAGAGACCCTCCAGGCCAAGCTCAGGTCTGGGTTCAGGCCTTTCCCCCAGAGGGCAGCCTCCTTGGAGGCCTCTGAGGTGTCTGCGTGCGTGTGCATGTTAACATGCTTTGTTGTGTCTGTGCCTACATGGAAGCCTTTGCACACGCGTGTGCACACACACACAGCTCTCATCAGTTAAGGGGCCTTCTGGAGCCCTGAGCATGCATCTGCCAAGTATCCTCTCCACCCACCTGACTCTGGGAAGCAGGTGTCACAAATAAGGCCAGAGGCTCAGGCACTTGGCCAAGGCCGCTCTTCCCTGTTCTCTACCCAGGGGGGCTGAGTCCCTGGACCGTGAGGTGCCCATGGTCCCTCTTGCTCCCTTCTCCAGCCACTGTCCTCACTCAGCAGAGCCCTGCTCCTCCTTTCTCTGCGGAAGTGGACATCTCCCCTTCCCCATTCGTGGATCCCTGTTCCACCTCCATCTCCCCAAGCAAGCAAGCAAGCAAGGCCCATCCCTGGCTGGCCTGGGCAAGGACAGCAGCTAGGCCTTCTGCTGGCCACCTCCTCTCAAGGGCTGGTCGACTGCCCCTGCTTTCCCTGACACACACTTGGCAGAGCCCCGCTGGACGACCTTGGCATGGTCTGGCCACTCCGGGGCTCCTGGGAGGCTACTGGGACAGGGATATGCGTGGCCTCCTGTGCAGTTGCGTGCTGCAGGCCTGTGTGTGCGCCAGCCTCTCCCCACTGCTGCCCTCTGGTGGCTCCAAGCAGTGTCTTTCCTCCCTGCTTCCTGTCTGCTGCTGACTGATCCTTGACCTCGGTCTCTGGTGAAAGGCCAGATTGCACCCAGCTGCGAAGCCCGGCAAGTCCAGGGAAGGGGTTCTGGCTCTTCTGGGGAGCCCCTGGGTCTCCAGCCTGTTTGCTCACCTGGGAAAGCTGGACAGCAGGCGGAAGCCTCTCTCAGGAGGTTGATGCAAGCTCTGTCCTCCCCGGCCTCAGAGAGCCCTCGCCCAACACCAGCGACAGTGGCCAGGGCCAAGGTGGGGCTCTGTTGTGCCCTGGGACATGGGGGAGGCCTTGCACGGTGTGCACCACATGAAGCCGGTAGGTCCTGGCTGGGGCACTGGCGAGGCAGCCTCAGAAAGCCGTGCCGGCGTGAGGACTGGTGTCTCCTCTGCTGGTGGCACCTGCAGCCTTGCTCCTGTGATCTCCAAGCACTGCTGGACGGGGTCCAGCGCTGGTAGGGGTAGCCTGGCAGTGTTAGGTGCCTGGCTCTGGTTCTCAGGCCACTACCATGGGGATCCTCATCACCTTCTGAGTTCTGTGGGCCACTGCAGTCATCGCTTGGTCCCGACAGGAGCAAAGAGCCAGGGGTGCTCTCTCATCCTCTCTCAGCTGACATGGAGCTCCTCTGCACCCAGTGTGGTCACCAGCCTCTACCACCTGCCTTCCCCCTGTCCTTGTCCTTGTCCCATCATCCTGAACTCTTCCGGGAGCTTTTTTTTTTTGGGTACCATGGACCGAGTCTGCAGTGGCCTTTTCACACCCATTGCTGACTCGTGCAGCTGTCCCTTGGGGACCTTCTCCACTGACTTTAAGGAGAGAACAGCAAAGGCCAGGTCCCTGCCTGAGTGAAAGCTGGCTTCCACTTTCCCTGGGAAGAACCCAGCCCCCTCCCTGTTGGTAGACTCTGCTGGCGAGTGGTGGGCTGCTGTCCTGGACTGTGTTCCTGTTGGTTTCCTGCAAGCTCACACCCACTGGAGCTGAGCTGTTTGCCGCCTGCTGCTCAGACGTCCAGGGAGCGGCTCCGGCTGTCCCTCCACCAGGTGGATGCTGCTAGCTCAAGGCCCCTCACACAGATCACAGGGCTTCCCTGGGAGGTGGATTCTAAGGGTTAGTTGCAGGATGTGGGGGTGGTATGTGTTCCTGGGTCTCCTCTCACTGGGCTCTGAGGGGGCCCTGCCTGACCAGGGTCCTGGGCCCCAGCCTCACGGGTTCTCCGTTCTGTCCTGCTCCCAGGCCCATGTGCTTCGTGAAGCAGCTGGAAGTCCCTCCATATGGGAGCTACCGGCCCAGTGTGGCCCCTGCCACACCCAGAGCCAACTTGGCCAAGGAGCTGGAGAAATTCTCCAAGGTTACCTTTGACTACGCAAGTTTCGATGCTCAGGTTTTTGGCAAACGCGTGCTTGCCCCAAAGATTCAGACCAGCGAAACCTCACCCAAAGCCTTTCAATGTGAGTTGGGAAGAGCGCGCTCATTTCTCCTGGGAGGGCAGTGGAGGAGGGGCTCTCTGCAGGAGCCAGCAGGGAGGGCCCAGGTGTAGGTCTGATGCCTGAGCTGCCCCTTGAGTGCTGCTCCTCACCCCTGCCCACTGTGAACCCTGATGTCTTCTAACTATTGCTGAAGTCAGAGACTCAGATCCTTGAGGTGTCTGCCTCTCTGGAGACACTGGCAGTGACCTACCCTGGGGAGCCCCTTAATCCAACATCGTAATGCACCAGTTCAACCCCAGTGCTCTGCCTCCAGGAGGGTCCCTGATGGGAAGCTGTTGTCTTTCCTGCCTGCGGACCGTTTGCTGGATACCAAGGGTTATTTGAGACATTAGCAACACACTTTCTGGGTGACTGGATTGATAAAAGTCATTCCTGCACGTCTCTGGGAACAGCCCTTCCTGTCTTCTTGCCACTCACTGCACTAATTTGTGGGTTGCAAGCCCATTAGCCTTGGAAACGCACGTGAAAGGGAGCTGGCGTCCCTGATGGGTGCTGCCGGCCTCCACGCGTGGCCGTGTCGGGTGCGGTTCCAGCCGGTGGGCAAGCTTCTCTGCCTCCTGGTTGCAATCGTCAGGCGCACACACCTGCGTGGACAGGGAAGTGCGTGGTGCTGGTGGAGAGGGGAGCTCTTTCCACACATGTAGATCTTTCTGGAACACACCCATGATATTTGGGCGCTCAGAATATCACTCATGCAGAACTACAGAAGATAAAATTTTAAGCCTGTGTTGTGTTTCTTTGAACCATGATGCTACTTTATTACTGGAGACACCAAAGTCAGCTTAAATGAGGCCCCTTTGAGATGACCTGACAGCTTTGCTACTTGAGGGATATTGCACATATTCAGCCCATTCACTCCACCTTCAGTCTCTCAGGGAGCATTTGCTGACAGGGCCTGCTGGGTTTCCTTCTTTCTGCCAAAACTTGGTCAGGCCAGAACTGAGACTGTCCCCTCGGCACTCAGCCTGCCCGGGTGTGGCCAAGCCCTGGGCCCTGCCAGCCCCTGAGCCCCTACTGTGTCTGCTGCCGCCGCCTCTGTTCGAGTTGTACATCAGCCTGGTGTTGTTCCTTTTGCAGCCAAACCCTTCCCAAAGGCCTCCTCCCCCAGCCACAGCCCCTCCAGTAGTTATGTGAGGAGCACTTCAAACTCTTCCACAGGCTTCGACTACTCACACGATGCTGAGGCTGCACACATGGCGGCCACCGCCATCCTGAACCTCTCCACCCGCTGCTGGGAGATGCCCGAGAACCTCAGCACGAAGCCACAGGATCTGCCCAGCAAGGTGGGTGCCACCCAGAGACCCTGTGTGAGCTGGCCAGTCTCGTTCCTCTGTTCTCCCCGGAGCACTGAGTGCTGTGAGGGGCCCTTGTTCTGGGGTTCCCTGCTGTCTGGTGGTTACCTGCTCACTTGGCCTGAGGACCTGTCTTACCCACACTTACTGTCTTGGGGCACTGGCTTCTGTGCCCTGGGGAGGCGGGGAGGCTGGGAGGCCTGTGCCGTGTGCTGGCAGGAGTGGGGCCCTCTCCTCTTGGTGCCGTCTGCGTGGCTTGCCCCCTTCTCTCCATGAGAACCGGTGCTCTGGGCCCCGCCTCACCTGACTAAAGCGTGCCGTGGAGGACGGCTGCCCTCTCCAGCACACTTTCCCCTTTGCAGTCCGTGGACATCGAGGTGGACGAAAACGGGACCCTGGACTTGAGCATGCACAAACACCGCAGACGAGAAAACGCTTTCCCCAGCAGCAGCAGCAGCTGCAGCAGCCCCGGCGTCAAGTCTCCCGATGTCTCCCAGCGCCAGGGCAGCGCCAGTGCCCCCAGCAGCTCCATGACCTCACCCCAGTCCAGTCAGGCCTCCCGACAGGATGAGTGGGACAGGCCATTGGACTATACCAAACCCAGTCGCCTGCGAGAGGAAGAGCAGGAGGAGGTAGGTTCCCCAGGGGCCGAGTGAGCATTCAGGCAGCTGTGGCTGGCCCGCCTGGGGGCTGCTGTAACTGTGGGTTCCTAGCACAGCCTCGGGGACCCCCTCTCCACCTAGGTCTCCACCTCCCACCCCCAGTCAGTGGCACCCTTGTCCACTACCGGCGAGGTGGTCTGACCTCTGTGGGCTGTGGTGGACAGTGGCGCTGGGGCATGGACAAACCCCACGGGAGCCATCTCCTTGGTCTGGTGAGCATGCCTCCAGCCTGCACAGCACACCTGGTGCCCTGACCAGAGAGGACTGATGTGGTGGTGGATCTGTGGTCTATGAGGCAGTGGGTGTCACGTGTCTGTTGTCCACTCTGCAGGGCTGATTTGGGCTGTGCTACCAGGAGTTTTGTCCTGAAGAGCAAGTCCATCTCCGAGGGTGACACCAGTGGCACATGTGTTTGTGTGGTAGTGGGGGGCTCCCTCTTCCCTCCCCTCCCTCTCTTGAGGTTCCTGTAGTGGAAGCAGAACTGGACCCCCCTCCTTCCTGCCCAAAGAGGATGGGGACCGTGGGACCAGGCCCCTGTGGAGGGTGGGGATGGGGGAGCCAAGCTCTCTCACCTGACCCTCACACTGGCCTCATCTGGGTCTCAGGCTCACCTGCTCTCGCAAAGGAGCGGCCTGGGCCCTAGCATTGGCCCCAAAAGAGGGGCCGTCCCAGTCTGAGCCCTGAGCAGAGAAGCAGGTGTACCTGTGGTGGGTGGGAGTCCTGTCTGAGGCAGGAGTGTGTTCCTGGGCAGGCCTAGAAATGTAATGTTTGCCTCTCACCCGCAGGACTAAGCTGTCTGATCCATTTCCTGCCCCACACGTGGGCCTCGGCCGTGGACACGGCTCCTAGAGGAGTGGGTCCCTTCCCTGCCTGCCCTTGACTCCGCGCTGTGCTGATTTCCCCAAAGCTCTGCCTCCTCTCTGTGAACACACCCTCTGAGCCTCTGATTGGGCCTCTCAGGAGCAAACCTGCTGTCTGGGATGTGGCCTGGATCTCAGAGGACCCAGGGTCCCCCCACTGAAGCCTGTCATTCCTCCGTTCACTCTGTAGACCGAGGCCTTGGCTTGCTCCCAAACTCTTCCACTTCTCTCATACATCTTCTAGGCACGCGCTACCCCCAGGAACATTCCCCCCTCAGACCCACCTTGACACAGGCTACCCCCAGGAACACCTCCTGTCAGACCTGCCTTCACATCAGCTACCCCCAGGAACACCTCCCATCAGACCCGCCTTGGCACAGGCTACCCCCAGGAACACCTCCCATCAGACCCGCCTTGGCACAGGCTACCCCCAGGAACACCTCCCGCCAGACCCGCCTTGGCACTGGCTACCCCCGGGAATACCCTCCCATCAGACCCGCCTTGGCACAGGCTACCCCCGGGAATACCCTCCCATCAGACCCGCCTTGGCACAGGCTACCCCCAGGAACACCCTCCCATCAGACCCGCCTTGGCACAGGCTACCCCCAGGAACACCCTCCCATCAGACCCGCCTTGGCACAGGCTACCCCCAGGAACACCCTCCCATCAGACCTGCCTTCACACCAGCTACCCCCAGGAACACTGCCCGCCAGACCCGCCTTGGCACAGGCTACCCCCAGGAACACTGCCCGCCAGACCCGCCTTGGCACAGGCTACCCCCAGGAACACCTCCTGCCAGACCCACCTTGGCACTGGCTACCCCCGGGAATACCCTCCCATCAGACCCGCCTTGGCACAGGCTACCCCCAGGAACACCGTCCCATCAGACCCGCCTTGCCACTGGCTACCCCCAGGAACACCTCCCGTCGGACCTGCCTTCACACCAGCTACCCCCAGGAACACTGCCCGCCAGACCCGCCTTAGCACAGGCTACCCCCAGGAACACTGCCCGCCAGACCCGCCTTGGCACTGGCTACCCCCAGGAACACCATCCCATCAGACCCACCTTGCCACTGGCTACCCCCAGGAACACTGCCCGCCAGACCCGCCTTGGCACAGGCTACCCCCAGGAACACTGCCCGCCAGACCCGCCTTGGCACAGGCTACCCCCAGGAACACTGCCCGCCAGACCCGCCTTGGCACAGGCTACCCCCAGAAACACCTCCCATCAGACCTGCCTTCAGCTCTGCACAGAGATCCTCGTTCTTCCTTGACTTGCCCCCTTCATCCACCATTCCCCACCCAGCAGTAGCCCCTCCTTGTTGCCCCCAGGTGGTCCAGGCCTCTGGTGTCGTGCCTGCCCCATACTGGGGAAACCGCATCCTCTGTTCTGGGACCTGCAGTCTCCGTGAAATACGGGAGCACCTCCCAGTCTCTGGAGAGATGCAGTTGAATGATAACTTAATTCTGGTGCAAAGCACTTTTGCATTTGTATGTATGCACCGCTGAAGTTGGGGCACAGTATGTGTTCTGAAGAAAGCTATGCTTGGATGTTAGAAATGCACCATCTTTTAATTCTGTTTTTCCACAAAGCTTTTAAAGTGCCCCTTGTGTCTTCTGGGGATTTCCCCAAGCCTGTTTGCCCATCATAACGACACGGCTGCTGGTCATGCAGTTCTCTTGCTGCAGGGGGATGTGCACTGAAGGGTCCCCCAGAAACCGCGAGGTGGCTGTTACCTCCCCTGAAAAGTGCAGTGCCTGGGCCCCAGGAGGCGGAACAGCTTTCTAGGGACACACTGCATGGGCACAGCAGCCCTGGGGTGGGAGCTGGGCGCCTGGTGGAGGAGCCCGGCCTCCTTACCCGTGCCTACACAGTGCAGCGCCCCCATGTGGTGGGGTGCCATGCAGGCACAGTGTTTGGCTGGAAGCGTCTGTAGGTGCCTGTCTGACTCTCGTGCTGTCACATCTTTGTGGGACTTTACCAGCTCATTTGCTACCTACTGTCCACTCAGCTCTGTCCTGAGCGCCAAGGGCTGCGGTTGGCAGCTGGCTTGCCAGGCCCCCAGCCCCTTGGGGGTTGTGTTCTGTGTCTCGTGGAGTGGGGATCTGAGTCTTCTTCCCTTGTCCAGCAAATAGAAGGCTCCAGGAGAGGCCTGTGCGGATGCCACCTAGGGTCCCTCCCCGCCCACTTGCTTGGGCGCCCGGGCCTCCCCACCTCTGGCTAAAACACCTCCCTGCTGGTCTTTTGCAGTCAGAGCCAGCAGCCCATTCTTTTGCTTCTTCTGAAGCAGATGACCAGGAAGTGTCCGAAGAGACTCTCGAGGAGCGGAAGTACCCCGGGGACGTCACCCTGACCAACTTTAAGCTGAAGTTCCTCTCCAAGGACATAAAGAAGGAGCTGCTCACGTAAGTCGCTGCCGCCCTGGGGTGGGAAGGAGCGGGTCCTGGTCCTCACCCCATCCCCTGCCTCCCTGCCCTGGTCTGGCTGCTGGGCCAGGAGATGGGGCTGTCCAGTGATCTCGGTGCCATGGCGGGATTGACTCAACCTTCTAAACATGCTTGGGAGCAGGGAGCAGCCACTGGCTATCCCTCAGAGCTGACAGCAGAGCAGGGGCAGGGCCAAGGAGAAGGAAGTGGTCTGCCCGGGGAGAAGCCTCAGGGGTCCCGGGGGCAGGGCGCTCTCCCCAGGGCCGCAGCCAGGAGCCTTCTGCCTGGGCTCAATGCCTGGGGGCCTGCAGTGGCCCTTGAGGTTGAGGTGGTTGAACAGGCAGACCAAGTCAGCCATCACTACATGCCGCTGGCCCCCACTTTTTCTAGGGGACCACAGCATCACCTGCGCTCGGGGTCAGTCCCGTTGGTCTCCTCCACCTGTGGCTGCCCTCCCCTGGGACAGCTGTGGCTGGGCTCTGGTCTGGGACCTCATCCTTTGGGGGAGGACTTGCTGCTTCAGGGGCTGTGGAAGGGAGGCCTTGCCCTTCATGCGTGTTCACAGGCACACATACGTGCACCTACAGCGCAGAGCTGTCCTGACCGCAAGTTCAACTGTAATTTGGTTCCTTTTTCCTGGAGTTAACTGTGAGGGAGAGACTTGTGCTCAGAGAGGCAAGGGCTGTGGGGAGGGGCCCTGACCCTCAGCCAGGCCTGGGCAAGCCTGCGGTGTCCGACGACCTCTGTTCTGACTCTCTCTTTCCTTTGTCCAGCTGCCCCACCCCCGGCTGTGACGGCAGCGGCCACATCACCGGGAACTATGCCTCCCACCGCAGGTTCGTGCCCCGCTCGGGTCCGGCCTGGCCCGGAGCCTTGTGGTGGGTGTTCCTCCTTCCTCCTCTGCTCCCCTCTTTGGCTCACCCCGATGTCCGTCTCTTCTCTTTCAGCCTCTCTGGTTGCCCTCTTGCTGACAAGAGCCTCAGAAACCTCATGGCTGCCCACTCTGCTGACCTCAAGTATGTTTGCGCTCCCCGACCTCCTGTCTCTTCATGAGGCTCGCCTAATCGGCCTTCTCCAAGGCCCCGCCCCCAGGACCGGCCGAGGGGCAGGGCCTGGGAAGGGCCGATTCTGCTTGCTGGGGCAGCTGCCTGCGTCCCCTCTCTGAGCACTGCTGCCTGTCTCTCTCCAGGGCAGGGCTGGGGCCAGGGCTGCTGCAGCTCCTGCACGGCTCTGCCCCCCGCCTCTGCGCAGCCTCTCCGCAGGCCCCTTTTCCACTGCCCTAGAGACTGGAGAACAGCCCTGGGTGGGCTGTGGCCGGTCCGTGGCCCTGGCTGTGTGGCTCTGGCTGAACGAAGCGGGTGCTGAAGGCGACAGAGGAGGCCCTTTGCCCTCCCCTCTCCTGCAGCCTCTGCCCCCATCCCAGTGCCCCCCAGACCCGCCTCGCCTCTGCTCGTGCTGCTCTGTCCCCACATCCCGCTTTTCTGCTTGTGCTTCTGTACTTCCCTGCCCTAACCCATGGCAGGGCGCCAGCCAGCCTGCTTGACAGCGGCACAAACGAGGTGCAGGCACCCAGAGGTTTCCAGGTCTCAGTGTCCTATTGGGGCTGGAGTCGGCGACTGTCACTGCCTGTGGTCTCCGTGCCTTCAGCTGAGAGCTGTGGCGTCGCAGCCCATGCAGCCCTGGGCACCAGAGGCAGGGCCTTGGAGGAAGGAGCTCCCTCTCTACTCCCTCAGTTTGCCCCTCCGCAGGGCTGTCCCTCCCCCGTGGGCCTCTGTGTTGAGTCCAAGCCAAGGCTCCCTGGCACCACCTGGGGGCCGCACAGAGCTGGGACATTGGTGCCTCTAAGGTGAGGAGCTGGCCGCTGGTTTGGGGCAGGACAGAAATCTCAATCTGCCCCGGTGGCCTCGACTCTGTCCCTCCGTGGAGGCTTTGTGGGTCCCCATGTCCAGCCTTCAGCCACACCCAGCCGGGCTGGGGCAGGGCTCTGCCTGCCGGTTCTCAGCTTTCAGATCAGCACGGCAGAGTCACACACGTGCCCCCATGTTCACTCTGCTCTGTGCCAGGCCCTGGAAGCCCAGCACTGAAAGGCTGGGTCCTGTAGCCGCAGGCCCCCCGCCCCGACCCGCCGTCTTCCTTTTATTCTTTTTTCCAATTTTATTTCCCAACTCTGCTCTCTTTCTAAACTATGGCTAGTGTTTGTGGCTTTCCAGCTTACAGGCCAGAGCAGGGTTAGAGCTGGTGATGTCACCAGTGTCCTTTCTGTCCCTCCAGACCCCGCTTGGCAAGACCTGGTTCCAGGCCGTCTGTGGGGTCAGAGCCTGGGATGGACTTTACCCCAAGCCTGTTTAGAAACAGCAACAAGAAGTATTCCTGGCGTGGACAGGGACCACACCTCAGCCTCAGCAAGGTTGGGTCAGCCAGGGCCGTTCCAGGGAAGTCACCTCAGACCAGAGGCTGGACCCACATTCCTGGGGGTGCCAACACGCCCTGTCTCCCTCTCTCTCCTGTCTGTGGGGCCCACACTGGTCTGCTCCTGCTTAGCCACACAGCGGCAGATCTGGAGCCAGGGCTGACAAGGGGCTGCAGGGACACAGCTGCCTCAGGCCGCTCTGCTCACTATGCCTATGGGAGCTGGGGTACGGTTGCACACTGTTCGGGGACACAGGTACCCCTGAGGCAGAGCACAGCCTTCAGACGGGATTCTTCCTCCTGTTCAGACAAGGTGCACAGAAGTGGGTGATGGGAGGGGCAGAGGTGGCTCTGGGTTCCTGCAGCTGAGCCTGTGGGTTTGTGGGGCCGTGAGCACTAGCTGACGTAGCTGCTTCTCTGACCAGGTAAAATATCCTCCCTGTCCCCATGTCAGACCTTGGTGAGGAGCACAGGACGGCCGCACCATGTGTCAGACACCTGTCAGTCCTGTGGGGCGGCCCACACCTGAGACTCACCCACAGCTGAGTGTATCTGTGCCCCCAGCTGGTGTCGTTCATGGCCTAGGGCTGAGTTTATGGCCATCAGGGCTGGGTGGGCCACCCTGGCTACCTGACTGGCCAGCACACTCAGTGCTGGACCTGAGCTTTGCCAGGTGCTTTTTTTTTTAATTTTTATTTATTTATTTATTTATTTTTGACAGGCAGAGTGGACAGTGAGAGAGAGAGAGAGACAGAGAGAAAGGTCTTCCTTAGCTGTTGGTTCACCCTCCAATGGCCGCCGCGGCCGGTGCGCTGCGGCTGGTGCACCACACTGATCCGAAGGCAGGAGCCAGGTGCTTCTCCTGGTCTCCCATGTGGGTGCAGGGCCCAAGCACTTGGGCCATCCTCCACTGCACTCCTGGGCCATAGCAGAGAGCTGGCTTGGAAGAGGGGCAACCGGGACAGAATCCGGCGCCCCGACCGGGACTAGAACCCGGTGTGCCGGCGCCGCAAGGTGGAGGATTAGCCTATTGAGCCACGGCGCCGGCCGACGGGTGCTTTCTTGATGTTGGGACAGGAGTAGGAGCCTACCTGAGCAGCTGTCCACCCAGGAAGGAGGAGTCCACCATCTTTAGCTCTGTGGACTTGGCCACTATGATGGCGACATGTCCTCAAGCAGAAGGGCCTATTGCCCACAGCACAGTCCATGAAGACTGGAAAATGATTTGACAGGTCAGCCATCTGACAGGCCAGCAAGGCATCCGATGTGGAAGACACAGGGCAGGGATGAGGGGAGCTGAGCTGCACAGGACAGTGCCTCAGGGGCCAGAGGCCAGGAGGTGGGCCTGCCCTGCTGTGCATGACAGCCTTGGGATGCCAGGCTGAGTCGGCTTCTGTCCTCCGAATGAGGAGACTGCAGATGCCGTGGATGCTGGTTGAACGGCCAGGGTCACAGCACAGCAAGGTGTCCCCGGGCCTGGTCACCCCCGTGCTATGGTCTGCCAGCCGTGGGCTGACATACCTGACCAGCTCTTGACTGGTGCAGAGCAGCAGGCACAACAGAGGGTTGGGACAGAATCAGGTCATCTTTGCTCCTCACCCTGGCACCAGCAGGAGCTTATGTTTGCCTTCAGTGGAATTTGGAAAAAAGTGATTTAAGAAAATCCATGCAGATAAAATTAAAGTGCAATTTTATCACTTTGAGTTTATCAAACATTTTTGGATGTACTAAGTGGGCTTTTGTGTCTCCCCTCCTTAACCTGCTGGCACCGTCTCCCCTGCCAAAGACCCCAGATACATGAATTCTGCACTCAGCAAACATGGGCCTGGCCTGGAGTGGCAGGTGCTCCACAGAGCCACTCTGTGCTTGGCTGCCTGCCACCACCCAAGGGCGCATGGTCTCAAGTTAGGGCTCAAAGGTGTTCCAGATTCTTCCAGTCCAGCCTAGAACCCTGCAGAAGGCGAAGTTGGGAGTGCATTGTCTCCTTTGGATAAAATGGTCCCAGTAGCCCAGCCACAATTCCCAGGCATGGTACTGGGGTGCAGAGCTGGGCCCCCTGGCTGCTGTCTTCTCATTCTTCCTGAACCCACTTGGAGAAACTGCGGGCAGCACCAGAGACCCCCACTGCTAGCAGTGGGCAGGTGTGGGCATGCTCTGGTAACACTTCTCTGTGGAAGGTGCTTAAGGAGGTTTTTGAAAGACCCCAGGCTGGGGAAGGTGGGGAGGGCTCACTGGAGGGCTGAGTCCAGAGGCCTTCCCTCTGGAGCGTCCCAGGACCCTGGGCAGGGGCTGAACATGTTCATGGCCATGGTCCCAGCTGCACTTCTCTCCACAGGTGCCCCACGCCTGGCTGTGATGGCTCTGGCCACATTACAGGGAACTATGCTTCACACCGGAGGTGAGCCTGCCGCGTCCTGGGGCCCTGGGCGGGCAGGGGCGGCTTCCAGAGTCCCGAGCAAGACGCTAATGTTGCCAACATCTTGAGCCTGTTTCTGTCTCTGTCATCTGAATTGCTCATGTTTCCGGAACCTGATTAGGGTGCCCTCCGCAGGAAGATGAGTCCATGCAGGGTCAGAGTCTGGGCTCACGCTAGCACCCCCCACTGCTGACTGCTCCCCCAGAGAGGCTCTGTGTCTGCAGATGCCATTCCTCAGATTGCGCGACCTGCCCAGCCACTCCCTAGGAGACGTGGAGCTTGAGGCCAGGCAGGCTGCTGTTCTGGGACTAAGGGGGCTTTTTCCTCTTCCTAATCCAGCTTGTCGGGCTGCCCTCGTGCCAAGAAAAGTGGAGTCAAGGTGGCGCCCACCAAGGACGACAAGGAGGACCCGGAGCTGATGAAGTACGTGGGCCATGCAGGCTTCCTCACTGTGTTTCATGATTGAAAACATTCCTCCCACCAAACCTATCCATTTATGCAGAAGTTCTCGTATCTGGGGCACTAGTCCTGGCCCCGTGCTCGACATCTCAGGTTGGGTATTTGATGGGGCTGGAAAAGCAGAGCACCCCACTGCCTGCACCCTTGGTCACCTGGATGTGGGGCCCTGGGCTGCAGGTGTCCCCCGGTGCTCAGAGGCCTTGGGATGTTTATGGCTTTGCCTGGGAGGAAAGTTCAGGTGCAGCTGTTTAGTCGGGGAGGTGGCTGGAAAGAGGCTCTGCGTCTACGCACCTGCAAAGTGAGTGCCAGGCCCCTCTGGCAGGGGAGCAGAGAGCCTGGGCTGGCTCAGTCCGGGTGGGGCCCAGCAGGCCACGGGAAGCAGGGCTGTGCCACCTGCTGGGCCCAGGGCAGCTGGACGCTCATGCTGCAGGGGGGCCACTTGGCCTGAGACTTGGTGGCTCTTCAGAGTTTGCTCCAGCTGTGCCCAAGCGGCTGCTTGGCTGCAGAGGAGGGCCTTAATTGGCCAGCATCATGTCCTCTGAGGTGGACAGCCCCACCAGCTGTTTGGTCTGATGAGGCTTGTTTATCTTGTTAATTTAAGTTTTACAATGAAAGGGCAGTGAATTCTAGACCAACAATGCAGACTACATGGCTGTTGGTTGTGAGTGCTGCACACCAGCTGCTGGAGTGTCTTCCTCCGGAGAATCCAGGGGTCGCCTGTGGTGGCCCAAACACGGAGCTCACTGGCTAGCGAGGACCCTGCTGCAAGGGGTGCTGCAGATGATTGAAATCAAGATCGGCGTTTTTCAGAGTTACTGGGAGAATGATTTTCCTCTTTCTGATGTGCTGTCAACTTTGCTTTAAAAACACAAGAATTCCTCAGCCAAGTGGGGTTGTGCCTTTGGAAGATGTTTGCAGGATGGGTGAGGTACCTGTTGGCTCCTTGGCAAGATGGGGACCCCCTAGGGCCTCCGCTTCGTGGGCTCCCCACAACCTTTAAGCACATTGATAATGACAGCTACAGCCCGGAGTAGAAGCCGTAGTTGATGCCCCGGGCCTTCTGGGGACAGGATTTCAGGGCTGTGCCAGCAGCAGGAGCCGTGACCTTGATGGTCTGTCCAAGCACAGTTCCTGCTTTGGTGTCTCAGGTTTGCACCATTTGGGATCAAGTTGCATCAAACTTTGCAGTGAATTTTTTGCTGTTGGTGTGGCCACAGCTTTGTAACTGGTCGTGGAAGTCTGCAGAGGTTCCAGCGTGAGGGTCACTTCCCTGAGAGGGGGCCCGAGGCTGTCCTCGGTCACACTGGCCTCTGACAGAGGAAGCGTACCTCGGCCCCTGGTCCCCATCACAGCACGTGGCCCCTGGGCCCTATCACGTGCCTGGGCAGCGTGGGAGCTCCAACAACTCCACGCCCCACGTATGTGACCACCTGGTGGCTCTGAAGATTCAAGTCTGGGCCTTGAGAGAAAGAAGCTGAGTCTGAGATGCTCCCTGTAAACACAGCTCCGGGCAATGCCAGCCATCCCTCCTGATGGGGAGTTTTGCGAGAAAGTGGTTGAAAACGGATCCAGGTCCAGCGGGTGCAATGCCTGAAGAGCTGCTCATGAGGCCATCCGATCTGTTCCCACACCCTCACCTCAGCCTGCGCTGTGCCTGGCCACTGTGTCTCTGGGCTCCCACAGCCAGGGGACCCCAGGTGTTGAGGGCAGGGCATGAATGTGAAACTTCCAAAGCCTCCGTGGAGCTCTGGCCATGCCTCTGCTCTGGCCTCTGGTGGACTTGACCCTGGCTGGCTCGGTGGCCCCCTGGGAGTGCCTGAGGTTGGGTGGCAGCATGGACAAGGAGGGAACAGAGCCAAGACAGAGGTCAAGAGGGCTGAGCAGGAAGCAGGGTTCCAGCCAAGGTGCCTGGGAAACTGGGGCGGCTGACTCTCAGGGGCGGCCAGGAGTGAGGGGGTGGTGGGCCGATGGCTCCTTCCCTGCCGAGGCCTCACCCACCCCTGAGGCAGCAGAAGCCTCTCCTGGTGGCCTCTGTCCTCCTGAGGGCCCCTGCCCTGCCTTCGCCATGCCCTCAGGGGTCTCTGTCCCGTCTTGAAACGTGCCAGCCAGCACCCAGCAGGCACTGAGTGGAGAGAGGAGGCGAAAAAGTTGCAGCCTGAGGATCTCGCCCGGGGTCAGGCATTGGTTCCTGGATGACCTGGTTCCCCATACAGAACCTTAGGCTGTCTCCCCACCTCCCGTGCACCACTCCCTTCTCGTGAGGCCAGCCAGCCACAGCAGGACTGGCCCCGGGTCCTGTGGTTGCACACTGTGTTTATTTCCAAACCTGTACACCCAGAACCAAGGCTGGCGTGGTTACGGTGTTTCTGAGCTGTGCCTTTTCTCAGAGTTCTGTGGCCTCTACAGGACCAGCCTCTGCCGGGAGGTTGTGGAATGCAGGCTGCTCTTGTGGTCTGCAGGCCTGCTGTGGCGTGCACTGTGAGGTCACGTGGCAGTGGGAAAGTAGCCTCTAGAATCCACGTCCATCTGGAAGGCCCAACTGCTCCCCGGGGCTCCAGGGTTGAGGCTCTCTGGTGGCCAGGGCTGGAGCCGGGGCTCTCCAGGCTCTTCATCCTCAATGCTCCTGTACTCACCTGGCCTTTCTGTGTCCAGGTGCCCAGTGCCTGGCTGTGTGGGGCTCGGTCACATCAGCGGCAAATACGCCTCTCACCGAAGCGCATCTGGATGTCCTCTGGCTGCCCGGCGGCAGAAAGAGGGGTCCCTCAACGGCTCGTCATTCTCCTGGAAGTCGCTGAAGAATGAGGGGCCCACCTGTCCCACCCCAGGCTGTGATGGCTCTGGCCACGCCAATGGGAGCTTTCTCACTCACCGGAGGTAACTGTCCCCACGAGCCTGGCTCTCCGTGCAGCAGGTTAGGGAGCCTGGCCTAAGCATGACCAGGGAGAAGCAAGTCCTAAACATGCAGCTGATGGGGGCGGGGGCGAGGACCGCAGCTGCTGTGTCAGGGTGGACAGTGGTGTGAGTCGGGGGTTGTCTGCTCTCCCCGGGCCTCCCACCTGCAGCCGATGGGGGCCCTGCAGGAGTGAGCACAGCCCTGTCCTGATGCTCCCATTCTAACCAGCTGCCAGCTCCCTGGGGACTTCGGTCTCCTGTCTTTCATGCCCTGCTCCTCCCATGATCCTCTTCTTTGAACTCAGACAAAGGTCCTGCAGCGATCCAGGGACCAGACCCCCTCCACCACCTATGCACCTCCAGGCCCTCTGGTCTGTGGCTCTGCCCCAACCCCTGCCCCAGTGTTAAGGGAGGTCCTGCTCTGCCCGGGCCCTTTCCTGTCTTCCTGTCTGGGCTGGGCAGCTGTGGTGACTGCCCAGCGGTCAGTGCCTGGTCCCATCAGAAACCCTGTGTCTGGGTTTAGGGCCAATGTCAAGTCTCTCTGTCTCTGTCTTTTGCACTCTCCTTTCTTCCTTCCCCCTCCTTCCCTCCCTCCCTTTCCCCTCCCTCCCTCCCTCCTCCCTTCCTTGCTCTCTCTTTCTCTCCCTCTAAGATTTTTTTATTTTTATTTTATTTTTTTTTAAATTTTTTTTGACAGGCAGAGTGAGAGAGAGAGACAGAGAGAAAGGTCTTCCTTTGCCGTTGGTTCACCCTCCAATGGCCGCCGCGGCCGGCGCGCTGCAGCGGGTGCACTGCGCTGATCCGATGGCAGGAGCCAGCAGCCAGGTGCTTTTCCTGGTCTCCCATGGGGTGCAGGGCCCAAGCACCTGGGCCATCCTCCACTGCACTCCCTGGCCACAGCAGAGAGCTGGCCTGGAAGAGGGGCAACCGGGACGGAATCCGGCGCCCCAACCGGGACTAGAACCCGGTGTGCCGGCGCCGCAAGGCGGAGGATTAGCCTAGTGAGCCACGGCGCCGGCCCTCTCCCTCTAAGATTAACTCATTCATTCAAGAGAAGCATTTGCTGAGAGTCCACTTGCACTGAGCCTTGGAAGTAGAACAGAGAACAGAAAGACAGTCAGCCCTTGCCCTGTGGAAGGTGTAGGGCAGTGTAGGAGGGACAGACTGGGAGCAAACAAATGCCCAGGGTGTGAGTGGACACCAGTGCCCTAGGAAAGGAGCTGGGACCAGTCCCAGTGCTAGGCAAGGTTGGAGGAGCAGGCTGGGGGGCGCTGCAGCCAGGGCCAGGGGTAGGAGAAAGTGAGACAGAGCGTTCTGCCAGCTGCTGTGGACTCAGTTTTCACTGTGAGCCAGGCGCCTGGCAGAGAATGGAGACTGGGTCCACGTGTGTAGGCGGGATGGTCGCAAACTGCAGCCTGTGGGAAGGCCAGTGAGGAGGCTGTGGGCCCTGGGCCATGTGGGCAGAGGAGGTGCACTTGGCTTCCCAGGGATGTCTTTCCTCAATCGATTTTATTTATGAACTGAATAGAAGAACACTGATCCACACATCTTCATGCACTTCTCTACTGGGGCTTCTATGTCCAAGGAGTCCTCTATGAATGGTGCCACAGCTGCCTCCCAAGGACTCTCAGGGGCCAGGGCTTCACGGTGTGTCGGGTGGGCCTCAGGAGCAATGCCTAGATGCACACCCAGCACCTTGTGGGGCCGGCAGCGCCAGGCAGCATGCACTTGGAGACCTTCCTGGCCCAGGCTGCAGCCACTTCCCCTGGGCAGGGCAGACAGGGGCTGCATACAGTCCCACCACGGGGAGGCCTTCGGCAGTCATCTGGGAAGGCAGGACAGGCCTTTGGCCCATGTGTGCCCCTGGACAGCCAGTCAATGATGTGTGACTTCTGCTTCCAGTTTGTCTGGCTGTCCCAGAGCAAGTTTTGCTGGAAAGAAGGGAAAACTCTCAGGGGATGAGGCTCTCAGCCCAAAGTTCAAAACCAGTGACGGTAAGGGTGCTCCCAGGGACGCCTGTGCTTGTGATTGTGGGGACCGGGGTGGGGGCCAGGGCTTGGCACCTCATCGTGCATGTGGGAGGTGCAGGGAAGCAGAGCCCCTGGAATATTCATGCTGGAAACAGACCCCTTGCCCTGAGCCAATGGTGTGACCCCTGAGCCTCCTCTAACCTGGGGCTTTGGTGGCCACTGGGGTCAAAGAGCCTGCTGGCAGCACAGGAGCTGTGTCTGTGGGTCTGTGGAGAGCTGTGGTTCCTTCCCCCAGAACACTGTCTGCACAAACCTCTGTCCTCCCAGTGGGACTGCGCCTTTCCCGCCCTGACCCAGGAGGGGGCAGACCACAAACACTTGCTCGTAGTTGCTAAGGCACTATCCCAGTGTGGATTCAGGTCCTAAGAGTCGTGAGCTCAGAAGTCAGGCGGGAGGCCCTCCCACGTTGTTTCTTCCTGGGGCAGTGCTGGAGAATGATGAGGAGATCAAGCAGCTGAACCAGGAAATCCGAGACCTGAACGAGTCCAACTCGGAGATGGAGGCCGCCATGGTGCAGCTGCAGTCCCAGGTGCGTGGCACCACCCCCATCCCAGGCTCTCTGCCCTCCCAACCCGAATGTCTGCCTGTGCGTTAGGGCAGCACCCTCTCACAGGGGCACTTGGTGCACACTGGCAGCTGGCGCCTGCCCACATGGTGGCGTTTGTGACGTCACAAGCAGCTTTAACGTGACTGTTGGTTTTGGTGGCGTCCCATGGCATTGGTGCCACCAGGAGGCGCAGTCCTGCTGGGGTTAGTGGTCCCGTTCGTGTTCCTAGTCTTGTTACTCCTGGTTGTCCTGTTGCAGTGGGGCCTCAGAGCCTGGCTCTGGATCTGGGTTCACCCCAGCACAACCATGTACTGGCTGAGGGAGCTGGAAAATCTCTTGCTTCTTTGTTCCCTGAGGTCCTCGTTGGTAACATGGAGCTAATCCTGGGATTCTACTCCATGCGGTTGTTGTACAACCAATGCGTTTCTAGGGCAAAGCATTTAACACAGCAGGGAGCCAGAGTCCGTGAGAGCTGCTGTTGCCGCAGAGGGAAAGGGTTACAGGTTCTGCAAGCCTGTGTGTAGCCTTTCTCCCATTTCCCTAAAAGGAGAGTTTCTCATCAGAAAAGAAACAGTGAAAGTCTTCTGAGAATGAGAATGCAGCCCACCCCCTGCTGCGGGTGAGGGCTGCAGTGAAGCAGGCAGTGCGGGGCCGTGGTCACACACAGCTGTGCCCTGGACGGCAGGGGGAGCTACAGGACAAGGGAGTGGCTGGGGACACAGGGCTCGTGGGTGGAGCCTCTTCAGGGAGAGGAGACAATGGAAAGGCGGCGAGGTGAGGCCCCTTCTTGGAGGCTGTGGCCACCATGTGTCTTGTCTCTCTGCTCTTTTCCCCACTGGCCAACAGGCTCACTCTGTCCACTTGCTGCTCAAGACCCTGTATAAAAGCAGCAGCGACCCAGTGGGCAGGGGGAGTTGGTACAGTGTCCTCCCGGGCCCACAGGCAGTAGCGGCAGAGGTGTGGCAGGGCCCCGGCTCCTCCCCTTCTCCAAGTGCCAGAGACCCGCGTCAGTGTCTTCCCTGAGGTGGCGCTTCTGCTCTCCCTGGGTTTGCCAGTGCTCATCATGCAGACAGAGTCCTTTTCCACAGCCTCCCTTTGGGTGAACTCGGAAGCTGCCTTTGAGAAGGTCCCTATGAGGACAATGTGTGCGCTCCTCCCTCCTTTGTCACAGGGACCCCACATTCCCGTCTAAGCACATCTCACACCTTGTCTGTGGGAGCTTAGCTCCTGCCTTGTGGCTCCTGGAAGATGTGGGCAGACTGGGGCTATTCCTCAGACCCCAAAGCCTCTTCATGGCCGGGTGGGAATGTGAGAGGACTTACCTGTGCTTGGCCTGTGGAAGATGAGCTGCGAGGCCGTTTCTTGGCACCCCAACCAGCCACCGGGTGGGTGTGGCTGACCCCATCTTGTGGGTGTGTGGCCAAGTGAAGAGCTCAGCTGCAGGTGGCCAGGTTGAGCCCAGCTCCTTCTAGGGAGGTGAGGCACAGATATGCAGCCCCTGACCCCCTCACGGTGTCCCCTTCGTGGTGTCTCTGAGTTCAGGCTCTGCTTCCAGTGGGCCTTGCCTTTCCCTCCTCCCTCCATGGACCTGGGCCCTACCAGAGCCTCCACTGGTGGCAGGAACCCCACTTCCAGGGCTCTCTCCCCTGGACAGAAGGGAGATGTGGCCTGTGTGCTCCTGGGAGGACAGGCCACAGGCGGGCAGCGCTCCCTGTCTCTGGTACAGATCTGCTCCATGGAGAAAAGCCTGAAGAGCATTGAGGAAGAGAACAAGCTCATTGAGGAGCAGAATGAAGCCCTGTTTCTGGAGCTGTCTGGCCTGAGCCAGGCCCTCATCCAAAGTCTCGCCAACATCCGCCTTCCGCACATGGTAGGCAGCTGCCTCTGAGCCTCTGAGCTGAGCTGGGGACAGGAAGGATGGGGTGGGGTGTCCTGTGCCCTTGGTGGCAGTGCTCTCTGCTTGACTGGCCCAGCAGGTAGTGGCCACCATGGCTATAGCCCTCCTGACCAGCTTCAGGTCCAAAACACAGTGTTGGTTCTGATGGCAATGAGTTTGTCTCTGGGCTTGCTACAGACCAGAACACTGGTGGCTGCTGGTGTGGGCATGAGGGTGACTGCCTGTGCTGCCCCTGGCTGGTGCAGGCTGGTGTTGGCTTGCGTGGGTTTCCATTGCATAGACAGGGCTTGCTGATCTGGTTCTACTCCCCAGGAGCCAATATGTGAACAGAACTTCGATGCCTATGTGAGCACCCTCACCGACATGTACTCCAACCAGGAGTGCTACCAGAGTCCCGAGGACAAGGACCTCCTAGAGAGCATCAAGCAGGCCGTAAGGGGCATCCAGGTCTAGGCCCCCGGGTCTGAGCAGCTGAGGGGTGGCCGCCCAGCCCCGCCGCCGACCTCTCTCCTCCTGCTCTTCACTGGGGGGTTCCTAACTCACAGACTCCTAGTTGGAAGCTTGCGGCCTTGGACGGTTTACCCAAAGGGCTGCCTGGAAGTCAGGGTCCCCCGCGACGCCCCTGCCGGGCTCGGGGCTGAGACCTCGCCACGCAGACGCATGGGGACGCTGAGTGTCACAAAGTCATTTATTTTTGTGTTCTGAAAGCGTAGCCCAGCAGTCTCCAGTGAAGCTCATGGACAAGGTTCTCAGGGAAGTTTCGGAGTTGGCAACCACAGTATTCCTCTGTCTGTCGAGGCTGGGAGGGCAGCCGTGGGCACAGTGGGCGGGTGTCGGGGGGAACGGGTGACCGCCCGAGGCCCCGTGTCTGTGCTCAGTGAGGCCCATGTGTGTTTTCTGTTTTCGTTTAATTCAGTTTTGTGTTAAGAGGAACAAAGTCATGTTCCAGAGGCAAAGTTAGGGGTAGGCCTTCCAGACCGTTGCTCTCATCAGCCTGGGCAGCGTGGCAGCATCAGCCTTGCACTCGGGGCAGCAGGGGCAGACCGGTGTGGCCCCAGCTCACGGCCTCCTCCTGGGCTGCAGCCCCGGACCACCAGGCCAGGCCTCAGAGCAGCGGTGTCTGCTCAGGCCCCTGACCGATGGCCGCCGCGTTCTCTGGGTCCTGGCTGGACTTGGTCAGGGTCGACAGTGTTGAGGGGGTTGGGGTAAACTCACTGGGAGACCACCACGGTTTCACTTCTTAGATCCGCTCAGATTTGAAGAAAGGTAAATTTTAATTCAGTGTGTTAAAAACACAATGTTCCTGCCGTGTAAATAGAGTCCAAGTCAAGCGTGACTGCAATTCTGAGTTAGTATTTAAAAGTAGAGAAATTGCACTTCCCAGAAGAAATTAAAAGTAGTTTAGTTTAATTATTCTGTAAATTGTTTAAGTTTGTCAAGATGTAAGTATTTATATTCACAACCTCATATGTTCATGTTTGCTATTTATTTAACATTTTTATTAATTTATTAATTTTATACTATTTCAACTCGACCCCACATTAGGGCACCATAAGAGGGAACTAAGTGAAATCAAAGGAAAAATAACTATTTGACTATAAGCCACAAAAAAAATCTCAATATAACTTCTAGTTATAATTTTGATGCAACCAAGTTATTTTTTATACATTTTGTTATTTATTCTTTTAATAATAGAATTTTTAAAAAAAGTATTTTGTAACTGAGGAATTTTGATAATTTGGGGATTTTTCCCCCTTGGTCCAATGGAGAGAAAGACACTTTGGTTTTCTTTTTCCCTTTCGAGTTTCTTTTGTTTCCCGCACAGATGACAGCAAACGGGATTCTGTATTTGTCATTATTTAAGCGTAGCGCAAGTGTGTGCTCTGGTGTGTTCCTTGTGTCGCGTTTGTGTGTCGGTGATCACGGCTGAGTCCTGTCGCTGTGAGGGTGCTGCCCACAGGCAGCTCAGCAGTCACCCGCACTCACAGCTGCCCCACCCCCGACAGCTCCGATACTGTGACCCTCCTTCCTCAGGAAACGCGCTGAGCCCACAGCACTTCGTGGCGTGTCTGTAGGGTGATTTCCTAATAAAAGTGCTCTGACTGTGAGTCCGTGCTGTGGTCTGTGGGGAGTGGGCTGGGTGGGGGTGCTTCCCGTGTCGGCTCAGTTAGCTTCTCCTCTGGGAACCAGCTCTGCCCCCAAGGTGTGGTTCTAAAAGGCCTGAGTCATTGACCCCTGCCCCTTCTCCATGACTGGGCATGTACAAAGCAGAGTTCTTCCTAGGAGTTTTGCCTTTCTGCTTGGGGTGTGGAACTGGGGCTGCCAAGGCCATCTTCCTGGACACGGGAGGAAGCCATCTGTGGTAGGAGAGAGTCAGACATTGTAGGAAGAGGCAGAGCTGAGAAATGGAGGTGGCAGGAGGAGGAAAAGAGAGCTCGCCAATGAGCCCCTCAGCGCTCCTGGATCCAGCCACACCTGAGGGCCGTGTACCCATGGACGTTTTAGCTGTGGGAGGCAGTGGGTCCCCCTCAACACACACCTTTACTTTTTGCTTGATCTACTGTAATCGACTTTTTGGTCTTGCAGTGGCACCTAGTCTTTTCAGGTTTGTGTTAGGTGGAACTCTAACCCCCTGCTAATAACCACACATTGTCTGGTCCTCTGCCAGTGGCTGAGGTCTTAGATTCTGGATGCGGCTGGCTCTGAACCCTAGCAGGCCCTCCCACCTGCCACTTCCAGACTGTACTTTATCAAGAACAGTGCCTGTTGAAAACACATAACTTACCATTTCAGTAAGAGATGCTTCCGTCAGAGATACACACTGTGTCAGTGAGAGAGAGACACACTGTGTCAGTGAGAGATACACACTGTGTCAGTGAGAGAGAGACACACTGTGTCAGTGAGATACACACTGTGTCAGTGAGAGAGACACACACTGTGTCAGTAAGAGATACACACTGTCAGTGAGAGAGATACACACTGTGTCAATGAGATACACACTGTGTCAGTGAGAGAGAGACACACTGTGTCAGTGAGAGATACACACTGTGTCAGTGAGAGATACACACTGTCAGTGAGAGAGATACACACTGTGTCAGTGAGAGAGATACACACTGTGTCAGTGAGAGATACACACTGTCAGTGAGAGATACACACTGTGTCAGTGAGAGAGATACACACTGTGTCAGTGAGAGATACACACTGTGTCAGTGAGATACACACTGTGTCAGTGAGAGAGAGACACACTGTGTCAGTGAGAGATACACACTGTGTCAGTGAGAGAGAGACACACTGTGTCAGTGAGAGAGATACACACTGTGTCAGTGAGAGAGACACACTGTGTCAGTGAGAGAGAGACACACTGTGTCAGTGAGAGAGAGACACACTGTGTCAGTGAGAGAGACACACTGTGTCAGTGAGAGATACACACTGTGTCAGTGAGAGATACACACTGTGTCAGTGAGAGAGATACACACTGTGTCAGTGAGAGATACACACTGTGTCAGTGAGAGAGATACACACTGTGTCAGTGAGAGATACACACTGTGTCAGTGAGAGAGATACACACTGTGTCAGTGAGAGAGACACTCTGTGTCAGTGAGAGAGAGACACACTGTGTCAGTGAGAGATACACACTGTGTCAGTGAGAGAGATACACACTGTGTCAGTGAGAGATACACACTGTGTCAGTGAGAGAGATACACACTGTGTCAGTGAGAGATACACACTGTCAGTGAGAGAGATACACACTGTGTCAGTGAGATACACACTGTGTCAGTGAGAGATACACACTGTCAGTGAGAGAGATACACACTGTGTCAGTGAGAGAGATACACACTGTGTCAGTGAGAGATACACACTGTCAGTGAGAGAGATACACACTGTGTCAGTGAGAGATACACACTGTGTCAGTGAGAGAGATACACACTGTGTCAGTGAGATACACACTGTGTCAGTGAGAGATACACACTGTCAGTGAGAGATACACACTGTGTCAGTGAGAGAGATACACACTGTGTCAGTGAGAGAGATACACACTGTGTCAGTGAGAGATACATACTGTGTCAGTGAGAGAGAGACACACTGTGTCAGTGAGAGATACACACTGTGTCAGTGAGAGAGATACACACTGTGTCAGTGAGAGAGATACACACTGTGTCAGTGAGAGATACACACTGTGTCAGTGAGATACACACTGTGTCAGTGAGAGATACACACTGTGTCAGTGAGATACACACTGTGTCAGTGAGAGAGAGACACTGTGTCAGTGAGAGAGAGACACACTGTGTCAGTGAGAGATACACACTGTGTCAGTGAGAGAGAGACACACTGTGTCAGTGAGAGAGAGACACACTGTGTCAGTGAGAGAGACACTCTGTGTCAGTGAGAGAGAGACACACTGTGTCAGTGAGAGAGACACTCTGTGTCAGTGAGAGATACACACTGTGTCAGTGAGAGATACACACTGTGTCAGTGAGAGAGAGACACACTGTGTCAGTGAGAGAGATACACACTGTGTCAGTGAGAGAGACACACTGTGTCAGTGAGAGAGAGACACACTGTGTCAGTGAGAGAGATACACACTGTGTCAGTGAGAGATACACACTGTGTCAGTGAGATACACACTGTGTCAGTGAGAGAGACACACTGTGTCAGTGAGAGAGATACACACTGTGTCAGTGAGAGATACACACTGTGTCAGTGAGAGATACACACTGTGTCAGTGAGAGAGACACACTGTGTCAGTGAGAGATACACACTGTGTCAGTGAGAGATACACACTGTGTCAGTGAGAGAGACACACTGTGTCAGTGAGAGAGATACACACTGTGTCAGTGAGAGAGATACACACTGTGTCAGTGAGAGATACACACTGTGTCAGTGAGAGAGATACACACTGTGTCAGTGAGAGAGATACACACTGTGTCAGTGAGAGAGATACACACTGTGTCAGTGAGATACACACTGTGTCAGTGAGAGAGAGACACACTGTGTCAGTGAGAGAGATACACACTGTGTCAGTGAGATACACACTGTGTCAGTGAGAGAGAGACACACTGTGTCAGTGAGAGAGACACACTGTGTCAGTGAGAGAGATACACACTGTGTCAGTGAGAGAGATACACACTGTGTCAGTGAGAGATACACACTGTGTCAGTGAGATACACACTGTGTCAGTGAGAGAGACACACTGTGTCAGTGAGAGAGAGACACACTGTGTCAGTGAGAGATACACACTGTGTCAGTGAGAGACACACTGTGTCAGTGAGAGAGACACTCTGTGTCAGTGAGAGATACACACTGTGTCAGTGAGAGATATACACTGTGTCAGTGAGAGAGAGACACACTGTGTCAGTGAGAGAGATACACACTGTGTCAGTGAGAGAGATACACACTGTGTCAGTGAGAGAGATACACACTGTGTCAGTGAGATACACACTGTGTCAGTGAGAGAGAGACACACTGTGTCAGTGAGAGAGATACACACTGTGTCAGTGAGATACACACTGTGTCAGTGAGAGAGAGACACACTGTGTCAGTGAGAGAGACACACTGTGTCAGTGAGAGAGATACACACTGTGTCAGTGAGAGAGATACACACTGTGTCAGTGAGAGATACACACTGTGTCAGTGAGATACACACTGTGTCAGTGAGAGAGACACACTGTGTCAGTGAGAGAGAGACACACTGTGTCAGTGAGAGATACACACTGTGTCAGTGAGAGACACACTGTGTCAGTGAGAGAGACACTCTGTGTCAGTGAGAGATACACACTGTGTCAGTGAGAGAGATACACACTGTGTCAGTGAGAGAGAGACACACTGTGTCAGTGAGAGATACACACTGTGTCAGTGAGAGATACACACTGTGTCAGTGAGAGAGAGACACACTGTGTCAGTGAGAGATACACACTGTGTCAGTGAGAGAGAGACACACTGTGTCAGTGAGAGAGATACACACTGTGTCAGTGAGAGAGATACACACTGTGTCAGTGAGAGATATACACTGTGTCAGTGAGAGAGATACACACTGTGTCAGTGAGAGATACACACTGTGTCAGTGAGAGATACACACTGTGTCAGTGAGAGAGATACACACTGTGTCAGTGAGATACACACTGTGTCAGTGAGAGAGAGACACACTGTGTCAGTGAGAGAGACACACTGTGTCAGTGAGAGAGATACACACTGTGTCAGTGAGAGAGATACACACTGTGTCAGTGAGAGAGATACACACTGTGTCAGTGAGAGAGAGACACACTGTGTCAGTGAGAGAGATACACACTGTGTCAGTGAGAGATATACACTGTGTCAGTGAGAGAGATACACACTGTGTCAGTGAGAGAGATACACACTGTGTCAGTGAGATACACACTGTGTCAGTGAGAGAGAGACACACTGTGTCAGTGAGAGAGATACACACTGTGTCAGTGAGAGATACACACTGTGTCAGTGAGAGAGATACACACTGTGTCAGTGAGAGAGATACACACTGTGTCAGTGAGATACACACTGTGTCAGTGAGAGAGAGACACACTGTGTCAGTGAGAGAGAGACACACTGTGTCAGTGAGAGAGATACACACTGTGTCAGTGAGAGAGATACACACTGTGTCAGTGAGAGAGAGACACACTGTGTCAGTGAGAGAGAGACACACTGTGTCAGTGAGAGAGATACACACTGTGTCAGTGAGAGAGATACACACTGTGTCAGTGAGATACACACTGTGTCAGTGAGAGAGATACACACTGTGTCAGTGAGAGGTGCTTCAGTCAACAGCAGGTCTGTACTGGCCACCAGGTTCCTAAGAGAGGCTGACAGCATTGTGTTTCCTGTCAGTACCACTTGCTTCAAGTCCTGCATGAACATTGTCTTCTAGTTTGAGATTACTTAATGAAACCAAGTGTGCCACACACGTCTCACCTAAGACGTCAGAACTCTGACAACTGCAAAGTGAATCCCGCGAAGTCCACCATGCGTCACCTTTGTGCTCTGTCACCAGCTGCCAGCTGCAGCAAAAACTCCTGGGGCAGCCCCTGCTCCGCAGGGCCAATCCCCACTCACGCTGTGCCAGGGAACAAGACAGGACTGGGGACTGGCAGTGGGGACGGTGCAGAGAAAAGCCCCAAGTTTCTGTCCGTCACAGCAGTGTCACCAAGAACCCCGGTGCCACCTGCTTCTCAGGGTGCGTTCACTTGAGGCCCCCGTGGACAGGCCTATTTGTGAGGGCCCAGGTCAGCAGGACCTCCAGGGAAATGGAGCCATGTCCCTCTCTCCCACACCAGCAGGCCTAGCCAAGCTGACATAAAATCGGCCACCACAGACCCCGTCCCTCTGTCTTACTAACTTGTCCGAGTGGCTTGTCTCAGCAGGATTCTCCACGTCACTTATGTGCGAACACTGGGGCTTACCAGTGTTCTCAGAGCAACGCCCGTGTGATGTGTGACGTGCAGAGAAGTTGTTAAACGCTGACCTGATTCCCAGCTAAACGGGACGGCAAGCGGCCTGTTTGAGGCCTGTGCTAGTCACCTTCTCCTAGCTGCAGCCATGGCCCCTGCCACCGACCCCGCGTGCTGTCGCCACTGGGGAAGGACGGATGTCTATCCAGGTGTCATTTGCCTTCTGCCCCTCACATTCACAGCGATGACAACTCCTGCTCCTGTGTGATGGCTCTGCGGAGGCCCAGGACCCCTAGAGCACCCAGCCCCCTCCACCAGACTACAGGAACCCAGAGACGCCAAAACAGGGCAGGGCAGGGACTGGGGTAGAGTGGCTGCTTCGGGGACCCCGGTCTACATGTCCACCCGTTTCCTGTGCAGAGGCAGCAAGGGGGACTTTGGGCAATGCTCCCTGCTGAGGATGGGGAAAGCGCCTGTCACCTCACTGATCAGGACTATTTTTTTTTTGACAGGCAGAGTGGACAGTGAGAGAGAGACTCCTTTGCTTTTGGTTCACCCTCCAATGGCCACTGTGGCCGGTGCACCGCACTGATCCGAAGGCAGGAGCCAGGTGCTTCTCCCGGTCTCCCATGGGGTGCAGGGCCCAAGCACTTGGGCTGTCCTCCACTGCACTCCCGGGCCATAGCAGAGAGCTGGCCTGGAAGAGGGGCAACCGGGACAGAATCCAGCACCCCGACCAGGACTAGAACCCGGGGTGCCGGCGCCGCAAGGTGGAGGATTAGCCTAGTGAGCTGCAGTGCTGGCTGATCAGGACTATTCTAACTGCCCCTTAGCCAGCCCTGACTAAGTCATGGGCAAGACAACACCAAGGCAGCTACTGTCAGCATTTGGACAAGGGACTCCCCCTGTCTATAAAACTCTAGGGAATAAAAAATTGCAAAAATAGCACTTGCCTGTCGTACAAACACTGAGACAGAGGTAATAAACCAGCAGCATCTCTTGCCAGGGCGCCATCTGTCATTCATGCCCCACGCCCAGCGTCCTCTGCTCTGTCTCCCTGCCTGCTTCCATTTCTTTTCTGCCTTGAAAACAGCGTGTGTGGGTCAGCTGCTAAATTATTTTCAGCTTTTGCTATGTCTGAAAAAAATTTTCCACTTTTAAAAATAGAGTTTATTTTTGAGGGCATCTAGGTTTACAGAAAACTTGAGCAGGTAGTATAAGAAGTTCTCATAGTTCTCTCCCCTGCACACATATCCCTTGCTATTAACACTGATACACGACTCTGTTTTGACAAACACAGCACGTCACACAGCCACCATCAGTGTCACACACACCAGCTGCACTGCCTGAAAAGCCCCCTGTGCCCTACTGTGCACCCCCCTCTCCATACAACAATCCCTGGCAACTGCATACTACTCTGCTTCTACAGTTTTTTATTTTTTATTTTTAAGATTTATTTATTTGAAAGAGTTACACAAAGAGGAGAGACGTGGCGGGGGGGGGGGGTGTCTTCCATCTGCTGGTTCACTCCCCAATTGGCAGCAATGACCAGAGCTGTGCTGATCCGAAGCCAGGAGCTTCTTCCTGGTCTCTCACGTGGGTACAGGGGCCCAAGGACTTGGGCCATCTTCTACTGCTTTACCAGGCCATAGCAGAGAGCTGGATCAGAAGAGGAGCAGCCCAGACATGAACTGGCGCCCATATGGGATGCCGGCGCTTCAGGGCAGGGCATTAATCTGCTGTGCCACAGTGTGCCCCCCCCTTAAAGATTTACCCTTCTCTTAATTTACTGAGAATTTTCTTCATGAAAGAATAGAGTTGCAGTTAAAAATGATTAATAAACTCTGAGCCATGCAGTGGAGCTGGCTGCACATCAAGTCCACTTACTGCCACTGTGCCACTTACAGAGTAAAACAGTAAACATTGTTTTTTTGCAGTAATTCAAATTTTAAAACTTTTAAAAGGGCCGTCTGCACGGAGGGACGTCTTGGTACTTGGGGTGTGGGCCCCCCAGACTCAGGGACAGTGTCCTGCACAGCAGGTCGCAGTTGCGGCTGCACAGCCTGTCTCCAGAGCTGCGGCGCCGCCCCCACTAACTGTGCTGCCCTGAATCCCACCTTCCGGGTGCTTGCAGTCTCCCGCCCAGAGCTGGCAGAGAAGGGGCTGAGCCCATAGGGGAACTGGGCTGTTTCCAAGAGACCCCCCCCCATTTCCATGAGCCCCAGGCCAATCACCATACCTATGTGAAACCCCCAAACGACCCAAGGAACAGACAGCAATGCCTTAAAAACCCTGGACGCTTCCTCAAAGCGTGTCCCCGCTGGGTCTCCTCTCGGACCACACGCTTTTTCTGTAGCTTGCCAATCAAAGTTTCTGCTCTTTGCAAATTGTTTCCCGGCTTTTAATTTCTATACTGAACTAAGGAAAAGAATCCATGAATCTCGCTGGGGCACCCGCCCTTCCCTCGGCGACCACTAATAGTAGTGGAAAGTCCCTGAAGCCGCTGAGTGCGGGCCCTGGGGTGCGGCGCCCCGCGGCCGGGAGGCCGGGGTTCCGCTCTGTACCTGCACTTCCCAACCGCCGCGAGGCCCTGGGCAGCAGCTGCGCTGAGCCTGCTGCATCCGCAGACGCAGGCACCAAAGCCCCCTGCCCGGGGCCGCGGCCAACGCCTGCGGCTCAGCAGCGCGGGGCCCCACCGCGCACCCGGCAGGAGGTCACTTCCAAGCTTTGCCTTCTACTAACCCTAACCCTACGCAGAGCCCGGCGACCCCAGGAACCGCAACCTCACGCCCGGAGCGCGGTCGAGCGCCCCTTCCCCAGCCCCACTGTGACGTCAACCGCCGACTCGGACCCTGGGCCAACGCTTTCCCCTGCCGCGGCGCCTGGGCTGGCGGGGACGCACGCCCCAAACACGCCTCGGCTACGCCCCCCGGACCCGACGTCAGCCAATCAGGACCCTACTGCCCCGTCAGGGTCCACCCGCCCTACCGCCCCGCCCCCGCGCTTCAGTCTGTCATTCCCGCCCTTTGACCTGTCACTCCACCGCCCCGGCCCGGCTCGCCCCGCCGCGCCGTTGCCCTGGAAGCCGGAGCCCTTGGCGCACGCGCAGTAGTGTCGCCGCGCGCGCAGACGCAGAAGCGGCGGCGGGTGTTTACGGCGGCCGGGGTCAGCGCGGTGCAGTAGCCGCTGGCGCGCGAGGGCTGCGCTGCAGGAGCTGCAGGTCGCGACCCGGGCCGCCCCAGGCTGCAGGCTGCCGCACTCCGGAGGTAGAGCGGCCGCTCCGCCCCTTGGTCCAGCCTGCTGCAGGCGGGCGCGGCCTTTTTGGGGGTGCCCCCCGCGGCTCCTGTCAGCAGCCCCCACCCCACTTTTCGCCTGCTACCGGGAGGCCGCGGTTCCTGTCTGTCTGCCCGCGTCCCTGCGGGCCCACCTGCCCCCGCCTGCTGCACCCCAAGACGAGTCGGGGTGCTCCCTGGGGCCTGCTCGGGAGGCGCCGGGGTCCGCTGGGGAGGGGAGGGGGAGTCGCGTCCCGGCCGCGGGGGCCTCGCGCGTCCGAGAGGAGCTGGGGCCGCGCCCCGTGGTTGAGCCTCCGCGGAGTCGCGCGCGCGCCCGTCCGGAGCTGCCTTCGACGCCCGCGGCGCGGGGCCCGGCGGCCGGCCAGCTCCGTGCGTTTGGCGACGTCTTGGCGAGGCCGCGGGAAGTCGCTGGGACGGGGCCGGCGTCTGTCCAGCAGGTACCGGCGGCGTGGTCCCCGGGCCGGGTGTGCGGGAGGGTGGTTGGGGTCCTGGTCTCCAGGCTTCCTTTGTCCGTTTCCCCTAAGAAGGGGCGTCCAGGCTGGAACGCTTTCCTCCAGGGGCCTCCGCCGAGCCTGCCCTGGGCCCGGTTCGCTCCCGTCCCCGTTACCGCCGTGCTGTGTGGATGAGGGCAGGCAGCGAGCCGGCAGCTCTTGGGCAGCCGTGGCCATTCAGCCTGCGGCCGGCGATGCACAGCCGCGACCCCGGAAGGGCTACAGCAGGAGAGCGCACGTCCTGACCGAGTGTCCAGCGCAGAGACAGGCAGGCAGGCAGAGCCAGGGTGCCGTCGGTAAGGGTGTGTTGGTCACTGGGAAGCCGGGGTGGTGTCCGAGACGACCAGGCTCAGCCCCCGGTGTGCCGCGTGCCCCAGGAGAGCTGGCCCACAGTCACCACCGCCAGGGGCTGTGAATGCTGCACCCCGAGGGTCCCTGTGTTTGGCAAGCTCAGGCCTCTGCCCAGTCCGGGGTCCTGACCCTGACCCTAATTGACCTCGGAAGGCAGTGGAGTTTGTGAGGCGGCTGTGGGGTATCCCTGTGGAAACGGCATAGCTGCTTCCTAAGAAGCGGTGCTTTCCATCTGGGAGGAACTTTGAAAGCAAGGAGGGGTCAAAACCAGGGCTAGGGACTTGGAGGCACACAGCGGCGTCGTGGAGGTCCCTTGGGAAGACAAGGGAGGGTGCTGAGGCAGAGTGAGAGCCGTGGCTGACCTGGCTCCCCTGACCCCACACTGAGGTGCTGGGGTCGGTGTCTTTTCCTACACACACCCCTGAGCGTCCCAGCTTCTGACAGGAGCCTAGATTCTGGGGTGACTGCCTGGGCTGGGGCTGCAGCTGCGGAAAGATGCGGCTCAGCCAGGATTAAACTTCACACCCTTGGCCACAGACTGGTCCAACAGGAGCTCTGAGACAGCTGAAGAGGGGTGAACAGTCAAGAATTGTATCGTCCTGGTGCTTTGGACGGCTAATGTTCGTCTGAAGTCTTGACTGTGAGAGGTTGTATGAAGCTGCACCTTCAGTTTCTGTTTGCCTGTTAGAGGAGCTGGGGACTGACCTGTGGTGGTCACCGTTGCTGGTGTGGGTGTGAGTGTGTGTGATGTCCCCCCGGGGTTTCTGTTGGCTTGTGAAGCACAGGCAAGCTTAAACTTTGCAGTGAGACAGGAGGGCAGGTCGTCCTGATTCCGCAGCGTCGGTGGTCCTGCAGGTGGGCTGGAGGGCATTTTCTCCAGCTGTGTCCTGTGTTTCATGAGACATTACTTTATTTTTGTTTTTTGTTTTTTTTTGTTTTTAATTTCATTTATTTGAAAGAATTACACAGAGAAAGGGACAGAGATCTTCCGTCTGCGAGTTCTCTCCCCAAATGGCTGCAGTGGCTGGGGCCAGGCCAGGCCAGAACCAGGAGCCAGGAGCTTCTTCCAGGTCTCCCACATGGGTGGCAGGGGCCCCAGCACTTGAGCCGTCTTCTGCTGCTTTCCCAGGCCTTTAGCAGGGAGCTGGATCAGAAGTGGAGCAGCCGGGACAACAACTGGTGCCTATGTGGGATGCCGGTACTGCAGGTGCCGGCCCTGCATTGCCTTGTGGTGTGGAGAGAAGGAGGAGACCCCATGAGGGCCTGTAGGGTTGGAAAGGATGTGTCTGTGCTGTGAGACCTGTCCACGTGACGGCATTGGCCTGTGGAACACCTGGGGGTGTCCGAGTGCTTGGGCTCAGGAGGGACAAAGGCTGCACTGTTTTTCCTTGAAGGCAGTTTGGGAGAGGGTAAGAAATGTACTCTGGGCCGGCGCCATGGCTCACTCGGTTAATCTTCCGCCTGCAGCGCCGGCATCCTATATGGGCGCTGGGTTCTAGGCCCAGTTGCTCCTCTTCCAGTCCGGCTCTCTGCTGTGGCCGGGAAGGCGGTGGGGCATGGCCCAAGTGCTTGGGCCTTGCACCCGCATGGGAGACCAGGAGGAAGCACCTGGCTCCTGGCTTCGGATTGACGCAGCGCCGGCCGTAGCAGCCATTTGGGGGGTGAACCAGCACAAGGAAGACTTTCTCTCTGTCTTCTCTCTCTCTCTCTCTCACTCACTCACTAACTCTGTCAAAATAAAAAAGAAAGAAAGAAAGAAAGAAATGTACTCTTAAAATGCTTTATCTTTAAAGAGCTGGGAGATGGCAGAGCACGCACATGGTGTCCTTGCAGTCGGACGCTGTGGGAGCAGTCCCTTCTGTCCAGTGTCAGCCTTGAGACTGACTTTGTGTTTGTTAAAGTAAGGTGTTTGTCACAATACCAGGGCGCTTGAAGAAGTTCATGGAAAAACTGAATTAAAAGATAATTTGGGAGCCGGCATTCTGGCACGGAGCATCAAGCTGCTGCCTGCAGCACCAGCATCTCAGAGTGACGGTTCAGGTCTTGGCTGCTCCCATCCAGCTCGCTGCTAACGCACTTGGGAAGGCAGCAGAAGGTGGCCCAAGTGCTTGGACACCCTTGCCCAAGTGGGAGATCTGGGTGGAGCTCCAGGCTCCTGGCTTTGGCTTGGTGCAGCCCTAGCTGTTACTGCTAGGCAGTAAACCAGCAGATGGAAGATCTTTTCCCCTTCAAATAAGAAAAATACATAATTTCACTGCAAAAAATGAAATATATAGTTTTTTCATAATGCATGTTTCCATGAACCTTTTGAAGGCCACTTGTTTGGTTTTCAAAATTTTTTTGCACAAAATAAACTTAACTCTTAATTCCATTTTCCAGAAATTTTTTTGAAGTATCTTCTTTGGGAAGAATTTGGTTGATGTCGTTTTTGTCTAAAATTTGGATATCAAAATATCCACAAGCAGGATTGAATGGCTTGCCCGAGTTGAGTGGGGATGTGTGTGTATGTTGGGTGTGGAGTTCCCGGAGAAGATATGGGATACTGTTTAACTTTGAATTTCAAGTAAATGTTGGATAATTTTGTAGTGTTTGCTGTTTACCTGAATCTCTAATGGGCCCGGGGTCTGTTCTTGGTCTGTTGTGCCTAGGGAGTGGGGCGGGCATTGACAAGGAGTGTTCCTCTGTTCTGTTTTCCAGAGAGCAGGATTCGAATTGGGTTTGAGCTGAGTCCTGGACCCTTGAAGTGAGCAGCTCTCTTGAAAACTTAGGTTGCAGCGCTGCCTGAGCGTGACCTTGGACATGGGAGGTGCTGTCAGCGCTGGGGCGGACAACGATGAGCTTATCGACAATCTGAAGGAGGCACAGTACATCCGGACCGAGCTGGTGGAACAGGCTTTCCGAGCTATCGATCGCGCGGATTATTATCTGGAAGAATTTAAAGACAATGCTTACAAAGACCTGGCGTGGAAGCATGGAAACATTCACCTCTCGGCACCATGCATCTACTCGGAGGTGATGGAAGCTCTGGACCTGCAGCCGGGACTCTCGTTTCTGAACCTGGGCAGTGGAACTGGGTACCTCAGCTCCATGGTGGGCCTCATCCTGGGTATGTCTGCCTTGGTGTAGGGGCATTTGCTTCCACACGAGTGTAGCCCTTTGGTGGCCTGCCCTGGTAGAGACCTAGACTTTTCCAGCCGTTACCTGACATGGTCACTGGGTGATGGGTGGAGGAAGGCTGGCCTGCATCTTACAGGCCCTGAGTTCTGCTCCTGTCCTGCAGTGGCCGGGGCTGGGCCGGAGCCAGAAACTCAGGTCTAGGTCTCTACCCAGGTGGGTGACAGGGACCCAGGTACTGGGGTCATAACCACTGCCTCTTAGGCTGCACACTAGCAGGAGATCAGAAGCAGAGCTGGGTGTCTTTAATTCATTCATTTGAAAGGCAGAGTTACAGAGAGAGAAAGAGAAAGAGATCTCCCATTCACTGGTTCACTCCCCAGATGGCCGCAGTGGTCAGCACTAAACCAGGAGCAGGGAAAAGCATCCAGGTCTCCCACAGGTGCAGGGGTCCCGGGCACTTAGGCCATCCTGGCCCAGTCCTGACTGTTGGGGAATGCACCAGTGGGTGGAGACCCTCTCAGTTTCTGTCTGCCTTTCAGGTAAAATAGGGGTGAGGGAGCTGTATAAGGATAGGAAGCACACCCTTGGAAAACGTAAAGTCTTCTGGAAATCAGTTCTTGAAGCAGTTGGTTTTGATGACGCTGAAAGGGCAGTACCTCCAGTCACTGGGCAGCTGAATGACCGGAAGGAAGGCTTCGCGGTTTCTCTCAGGTGAAGCCGTGAGGTCTGTTCTCGGTGTTCTGACCTGTCGGGAAACTGAAGGTGTGCTGAATTCCTACTTTGTGTAAAATGCTGGAGTGAGGGAGAAGCGGCTTTTCCTCTGAATGAAGTAGAGTGGTGTGGCCGGAGGAGGGATAGGAGTAGGGCCGCCAGGGCTAGCGCTGTGCCGGGAGCTGGGTGCCGGGTAGTGCTGGGCGGTACTGCTGCTCTGATGAACTCAGGGATGTCAACGGCATTTTTTTTTTAAAGATTTATTTTTTTATTTGAAAATAAGAGTTACACAGAGAGAGGAGAGGCAGAGAGAGAGAGAGAGGTCCTCCATCTGATGGCTCACTCCCCAGATGGCCGAAATGGCCAGAGCTGCACCGATCCGAAGCCAGGAGCCTCCTCCGGGTCTCCCACGTGGGCGCAGGGGCCCAAGGACTTGGGCCATCCTCCACTGCTCTCCCAGGCCACAGCAGAGAGCTGGATTGGAAGAGGAGCAGCCGGGACTAGAACCGGTGCCCATATGGGACGCCGGCACCTCAGGCCAGGGCGTTAACCCACTGCGCCACAGTGCCAGCCCCTTCCATGGCATTTTGACATTTGCTACCAAATAAGCACGGAGTTTGAATCTTGAGATTTCAAGGTGGTGTCTTCCACATCATAAAACATGCATTGAGCATTCTTTCCTTGTAGTTGTCAGTGGCACTTTAGAAAATCCACTAGTAACAGCTGATTTTTGTGCAAGTGGAATGAAAATTTGGGTTTCTCTTTAAGTTTGTAGTGTGGAATTTGGTGAAGCTTTGAGATGGATGGTCTGGCCTCAGGCCGTAGAGCGCCACCTTCACCGTCTTAATGGTAGGTTTCCGCATCAAAGCCGAGCGCTTTCTCACCTCCGTTTGTTGTGGGTCTAGGCTGCTGTGGTTCTGTGCTTGGAGAAGAGGCCGCAGGGCCGGTGTCCTTCCAGTTAACTGTGGTTCTCTCTGTTGTGCCTGAGGATCGGAGGAGCTGTGGCCAGCTGGCAGTTTGGGGGAACAGGGGTGACCACGCTAGGTTAGGAGGCACTGAAAAGAGCCGACTGCCTGGGAACCCCCAGAAGCAAGGGGCTGCGGTTTGGTGCTGTCGCTGCTCTGGGTCTTCTGCGCACTGGGAGTTTCGTGGATGTTGGAGGAAGGAAGCTGTGGTTTCTCGCGTGGTCAGTGCGACCTGCTGCTTTGAGGAGTCTGAAGGAAGTGACCTCAGCGCTGGTTCTCACAGTGGATGCTTGGCTGCACCGTGATGCCACTTCGTGCATGTTCCAAAGTGGAAACTGCAGGCCAGCTCGGGTCTGCAGACTTGAGGCTTGACATGGAAGCCCCGACCCTGACCCCCCCGGTCATCCCCAGGTCTGGCCTGGCTCCTGTGCTTGGTCTGTGGCCCCCTCTGCCCGCTTCCTGGGGCTGTCCTTGCTGTTGGTTCTTGTCTACGGGAGGGGCGGGGGGAGGTTCTGCATCAGAGCTGGTGTTTATGAAAGTGCCATGTGACGCGGGAGCTGCTTTGCCCCGGGGGGCCTCGTAGGTCTGGATCCCACCCGTGTCTTGGAGCTCTGCTGTTGGTGCCACCATCCTGCTTGTCATCTGTTTTAATGGGTGAGTTGAGGGCTCTCTGTTTTTACTTTGCCTGGGAATGAGGACCATGGATATACCTATTACTGGAATGGACCAATGGATATACCTGTCACTGGAATGATAGTGATGTAGAGCAGTTAATAAATAGCATGAGTAGATGAATAACCAGTCTCTGATTTCTGACAGAGTGCACCCATGCCAGACTAACAGGGCTGAAGTCAGTGAGTGGAAAGGGGCTTGAGGTTTGGAAAAATTTAAGATTTGATGTTGTAAACAGTGGAAGTGTGACTTTTCAAGTGCTTTGCTTAGAGAGTGTGCTCGGTGTGGAAGATGCAGAGAACAGAGTGGCAGGTTCAGTTGGCTAAATGGGGACCAGGAAGCCGTGGTCTGATGTGTCCGTGCTGTTCTGCAAGAAGGGACCAGAAACACCCAGGTGTCAGGGTGCAGAGATGTGGGGTGTGTGGACAGCTGCTTGCTTGTGAGTGTTTGAGTGAGGTTGCAGGGGCAGGGCCATGCTGTGTCTGTAGTGAGGTCACTGTGTCTGCAGTGAGGTCACACTGTGTAGTGAGGTCACACTGTGTAGTGAGGTCATACTGTGTACTGAGGTCACTGTGTCTGTACTGAGGTCACACTGTGTAGTGAGGTCACACTGTGGCTGTAGTGAGGTCACACTGTGTATTGAGGTCACTGTGGCTGTAGTGAGGTCACACTGTAGTGAGGTCACACTGTGGCTGTAGTGAGGTCACACTGTGGCTGTACCGAGGTCACACTGTGGCTGTACTGAGGTCACACTGTGGCTGTACTGAGGTCACACTGTGGCTGTACTGAGGTCACACTGTGGCTGTACCGAGGTCACACTGTGGCTGTAGTGAGGTCACACTGTGGCTGTAGGGAGGTCACTGTGGCTGTAGGGAGGTCACACTGTGTAGTGAGGTCACACTGTGGCTGTAATGAGGTCACTGTGTCTGCACTGAGGTCACACTATGTAGTGAGGTCACACTGTGGCTGTAGTGAGGTCACACTGTACTATAGTCTGTTGGTGGTGAATAAAGTTGTTGTGCCCTGTTGGAAACAGGAAAGGCAGGTGTGGCCTTTCCCATGTGTAACCGCCTGTGTTCAAGCCCCATCTCACGCAGGTGCAGAGCAGGACATGTGCCCAACCCCAGCGGCCCAGCGGTGCAGTGTCTCCCCCCACATAGAAGAGGTTTGCTTGTCTGTGACCTTCTTGAGAGGTTCCCTCCTGTGGGTTCTTTGTGCGCACCCAGATTTAACCCGGAAGCAGTTGTATAGAAGTACCACTTTCAGGCCGACGCCATGACTCAATAGGCTAATCCTCCGCCATGCGGCGCCGGCACACCAGGTTCTAGTCCCGGTCGGGGCGCCGGATTCTGTCCCGTTGCCCCTCTTCCAGGCCAGCTCTCTCCTATGGCCCGGGAGTGCAGTAGAGGATGGCCCAAGTGCTTGGGCCCTGCACCCGCATGGGAGACCAGGAAAAGCACCTGGCTCCTGCCATCAGATCAGCGCGGTGTGCCAGCCGCAGTGGCCATTGGAGGGTGAACCAATGGCAAAAGGAAGACCTTTCTCTCTTTCTCTCTCTCTCTCACTGTCCACTCTGCCTGTCAAAAAAAAAAAAAAAGAAAGAAAATTTAGAAGTACCACTTTCATGATTAAATTGGCTTGTCAGTTTTGTCAGTTTCGTTTCAAATTAGTTATAAATTTCCTTTGCTATAAAATGAAGTTTCATTGTGACTTGGAATCATAATTTCAATAATTAAAACTTCTGTTAGCATTATTGAAATGCTCACATCTGAGTGTTTTGGGGAATCTTCCTAAATTCTACCTCTGGAAAAAGATGAGGCCTGTGTTGGTTTCATTTACAGATACATGCTTCTGTTTAAAAATTTATTTACCTTTATTTGAAATAGAGAAAGAGAGCTCTCCCATGTACCTGCAGTGGTGGGGTTGGGCCAGGCCAAGCTGGGAGCCAGGAGTTCCCGCGGGATAGCTGAGCCACTACTCTGCCTCGGGCTGTGCCCCAGGCGACTGCTCGGCCAGACTTCCGTCCCTCGCTAGTGAGACCTGGTTCCTGACTTCCTTCTGCTTTCGAGAGATTGCTTAAATGTCTGACAGCAGAGCGGCCGGGCACCAGTCAGGTGGGCTGGCTCGGGTCAGGCCCAGCGTTGTGGCAAGCTCAGACACATGATAAGTCAGAGGTGTTGGCTGATGCCGTGGGGGCAGATGATCCGAGTTCTTGTCGTCCTGCAGGTCCTTTTGGTGTGAACCACGGAGTGGAGCTGCACTCAGACGTGATAGAGTACGCCGAGCAGAAGCTGGACTTCTTCATCAGAACAAGCGACAGCTTTGACAAGTAAGACCAGAGGCAGGAGGAAGCCGGGGTGCCCTGGTGCCAGGGTTTGTAAACTATGGCAGGTGGTCCTGTAAGACCAGAGGCAGGAGGAAGCCGGGGTGCCCTGGTGCCAGGGTTTGTAAACTGTGGCAGGTGGTCCTGTAAGACCAGAGGCAGGAGGAAGCCGGGGTGCCCTGGTGCCAGGGTTTGTAAACTGTGGCAGGTGGTCCTGTAAGACCAGAGGCAGGAGGAAGCCGGGGTGCCCTGGTGCCAGGGTTTGTAAACTGTGGCAGGTGGTCCTGTAAGACCAGAGGCAGGAGGAAGCCGGGGTGCCCTGGTGCCAGGGTTTATAAACTGTGGCAGGTGATCCTGGTTAAGTATGTACCTGATCTAATTTTAAATATTCTGAGTTCAAGGGCTTTAGACTTTTGTGACTATGGTACCTATATACTACTTATCACGTTGGTGGTTTTTCACTAAATATAATGGAGAAAAAAACGTTTTGCTGTTTTTAATATTTCCAATGTAGATCGCTTTTTGCCATCTGATTTTTTCTTTTTATTTATTTATTTTTTAAGATTTATTTATTTTATTTGAAAGTCAGAGTTAGAGAGAGAGAAAGAGAAAGAAAAGCCAGGAGCCAGGAGCTTCCCCTGGGTCTCCCACGTGGATGCAGGGGCCCAAGGACTTGGGCCATCTTCTACTGCTTTCTCAGGCCATAGCAGAGAGCTGGATCAGAAGTGTAGCAGCCAGATCTTAAACCGGCGCCATATGGGTTACTGGTGCTTCAGGCCACGGCGTTAACCCACTGTGCCACAGTGCTGGCCCCTAAATTTTTCTTTTTTTTTTAAAAAATTATTTATTTGAAAGAGATGAAGAAAGAGAAATCTTCTATCTGCTGGTTCACTCCCCAGATGGCTGCAATGGCTGGAGCTGGGCTGATCCAAAGCCAGGAGCTTCCTCCGGGTCTCCGACGTGGGTGTAGGGGCCCAAGCACTTGAGCCATTCCAGCAAATGGAAGATATTTCTTTCTCTCTTCTTCTACCTTTGCCTCTCTGAAACTCTGCCATTCAAATAAATAACTAAGTCTTTGAAAGAAATAATGTATATGGGGCCAGCGCTGTAGCATAGTGGGTGAAGTCACCGCCTGCAGTGCTGGCATCCCATTTGGGTGCCGGTTCAAGTCCCGGCTGCTCCACTTCTGATCCAGCTCTCTGCTATGGCCTAGGAAAGCAGTAGAAGATGGCCCAAGTCGTTGGGCCCCTGCACCCGCATGGGAGACCTGGAAGAAGCTCCTGGCACCTGGCTTTGGATCGGCGCAGCTCTGGCCATTGCAGCCATCTAGGGAATGAACCAGCAGATGGAAGACCTCTCTCTCTCTCTGCCTCTCCTTCTCTCTCTTTGTAATTGTGACTTTTAAGCAAAATAAATAAATAAATAAAAGAAATAGTGTATATTACTAGCTCTTGCTTTTTTTTTTTTTTTTTTTTAAAGATTTATTTATCTATTTGAAAGGCAGAGTCAGAGAGAGCTTCCATCTGCTGGTACACTCCCCAGATGGCTGCAACAGCTGGAGCTGGGCTGATCTAAAGCCAGGAGCCAGGAGCTTCTTCTGGGTCTCCCAAATGGGGTACAGGAGTCCAGGCACTTGGGCCATCTTCTGCAGCTTTCTCAGGCAATTAGCAGGGAGCCGGATTCGAAGTGGATTGCTGGGTCTCAAACCAGCACCTATATGGGGTGCTGGCACTGCAGATGGTGGCTTTACCCACTGTGCCGTAGCACCAGCCCCTTGCCATTTTTTTAAATGGTGTTAAAGTTTTTATTTTAAGGATTGTAATTTTTAGAGAAACCAAATGTATTTTTCCCTTACCTCACTTGTTCTGTAGTAGATCCTGAATAAGATGAGTTATAAAAGCAAAGACGGTGATCAGAAATGGTTTTACATTTCACATTACTTGTTTTGTAATTTCTAGGGCCCAATTTTATGTTGGAGGCAGAGAGACAACCCCCATCTGTTGGTTCATTCTCCAGATGCCTGCCCACAGCGGTTGGGGCTGGGCTGGGAGCTCCGTCCAAGTCTTCCAATGGGTAGTGGGAACCCAGCTACTTGAGGCAGCACCTGGACAGGAAGCTTGACCCCAGGCACTCAGTGTGGGATGCAGGTGTCCCAGGTGGCATCCTAACTGCCTGCCCTACCTGTCTGTCTGTCTGTCTACCTATTTTTGAATCTTTCTTTGAGAAACTGACAGCTCTACCTGCTGGTTCATTCCCAAATGCTTGAAAATAGCCAGGCCAAGGCCAGGAGCCACGAACTCAAATTTAGGTCCCATGTGGGTGGCTGGACCCCGAGTACATGAGCCGTCACCTGCTGTCTCCCAGGGTTCACATCAGCAGGAATCTGGAGTCAGGAAACAGCCAGGACTTGAACTCAGTCATCTTAATATGGGATTTGTGGATCTTAACCCATGTCCTAACAGCTCAGCTAAATAGCCACCCCATTGCCATGGGATTTAGAATTGAAACGTGGTGAGGAGCTGGCATTGTGGCACCGTGGGCCGAGCTACCACCTGCAATGCTGGCGTCCCACATGAGCAGCGATTTGGGTCCTGGCTGCTCTACTTCTGATCCAGCTCCCTGCTGATGTGCCTGGGAAAAGCAGCAGATGATGGCTTTGGCCCTCGCCACCCATGTAGGTAACCCGGATGGAGCTCCTGGCTTCTGGTATCAGCCTGGCCAACCCCTGGCCGTTGTGACCATTTGGGGAGTGAACTAGTGGATGGAAGATCCATCTTCCTCTGTCTCGCCTCTCTCTGGAATTCTGCCTTTCATGTACATAAATCTTTAAGAAACAAAGTGGTTAGTGTGGATGTCGGTGCAGACTTGTCGGGGTGATGCATTTCGTTTACTTACAGGTTCGACTTCTGTGAGCCTTCCTTTGTCACTGGCAACTGCCTGGAGATCGCTCCAGATTGTTCTCAGTATGACCGTGTGTACTGTGGGGCTGGCGTGCAGAAGGAGCATGAAGAATACATGAAGAACCTGCTCAAAGTGGGAGGGATCCTCGTCATGCCCCTGGAGGAGAAGGTCAGAGTCTGCATAACTCAGGTTTCTGCTCACTGTTGGCCAAAGAGGGGCAGGGACGGGTGAGGGAACTTGGCAGGTCCTGTGGGTGCCCTAGGCAGGGCCCAGAGAGTGGACTCGGGCAGGCAGCCCAGAACCTGCACGGAGGCCCCTTCTCTCTCCCCTCCCTTCTCCACCTCCCCCATTCTCATTTATTATGTGTAAAGCTATTGGAATAGTTCTCTCTCAGTTATCAGTCTAATCGTGAGAGACCTCTAGCTGGTACTGTGCAGGGTTCTGTTACCTGGTGGGTATCCTGACCGTGTTTGATGTTTGGTTGTATGTTTGTGTGGGTTTCAGGCACTGTGGGAAAAGTAGATGAGAATATGTGAGCAGACGAGTCACCAGGAAGAACCTCCCTCAGTCAGCAAAGATCCAGAGAAAACAAATCACAAAGATTAAGAGACTGCAATTTTTTTTTATAAAAACGTTTATTAATTAGTTGAAAGAGCAACAGAGAGAGAGGAGGAAAGAGAAAGAATCTTTTATTTGCTGGTTCACTCCCGAATGGCCACAGTGGCCAGGGCTGAGCCAGGCTGAAGCCAGGAGTCGGGGTCTCCCATGCAGGTGCAGGGCCAAGCACTTGGGGCATCCTCTGCTTTCCCAGATGCTTTAGCAGGGAGCAGGATCGGAAGTGGAGCAGCCTAGGCTCCAACATATGCTCCGATGTGGAATGCTGTTGTCTCAGGTGGCCGCTTAACCCACTGCACCACAATGCTTGCCCCTAAACATTAGTGTTTATTTTGTCCAAAAAGTAATGTTTGCTTTAGAAAACCCAGAAAGTTGGGATGGTATAGTGGTGCAGCAGGTGTAGCCGCCTCTTGTGACACAGGCATCCCAACGTGGGCCCCTGTTTGTGTCCCGGCTGCTCCACTTTGGATGCAGCTTCCTGCTAATGGGTGGGAAAGCAGCGGAAGATGGCCCCTCCACCCACATAGGAGACCTGGAGGAAGCTTCTGGTTCCTGTCTTTGACCTGGGCTAATTTTCAGCAATCTGGGGAATGAACCAGCAGATGGAAGATGTCTTTGTCTGTAACTGACTTAAATAAATGATCTTAAGAAAAGAAAGAACAAAAATCCAGAAAGGAATTTAAGAAAAACTGCTCCCAGTCTCCACACTGTTAGTATGTGATTCTTTTTTCAAAATACGTATTTCTTTATTTGAAAGGCAGAGTGATGAGAGAGAGAGGGATCTTCCATATGCTGGTTCCCTCCCCAGTTGCCTGGACAGTGCGGTGTGGTCTCCCACGTGGGTGGCAGGGGCTAAGTACTTGTGCCTCTCTGCTGCCCTCCAAGGCGCATTAGCTGGGACTCTGACCAGCACTCCCGTCTGGGAAGCCCCTGTCGTAAGCACGGCTTAACCTTGAGAGTGTTTCAATGGTGGTCATCTCTCTTCTTT